CCCAAAAAAGAGAGAGATCACACACCACAAATAGTAATCACTAGTGTACAGTGGTGCAAATCAATTGTGATATCAAAATGAAAAAAATGAGAATGGGGTGTTTTGTGGTTAGACCAATGAGAGATTTCTTTGATCCTTCCACCTAATACTGGTGTTTTTCACTTCAATCTGATCTTCTGTGTCAGTCCTAGTTGTCAGCCAGTGATACATGGTATGTTTTGTTCTTTTTTTTTTTTTTTTTATATTGTGAAATGTGCCTCCACATAATTTGCTCAGGATGACTGGGACTCTACAGCTTTCAATCAAACATCACATGTGACGCGCGCATCGTTATTCTACTATGTGCATCAACAAAGTCAGTGTGATCAATGGTGCGTATGAGATATCAAAGGAATCGTTCCTTGGTCGGGTTCCCAAGAAGCCTTCATTAGTAAATTCAGGAAATGTATGTGAAGCAAAGTGAACCTGTGGAACTAATTATAATGAGAATTTTCAACATTAATGAGATTGAACATAAGAAAAATAAAGAATATGCAAATAAGTCATGGGGCAAGTCAGGAGTATGTTTATAAAACAAGGTCTTTTTTCTTTGGTCCTTTCTTCAGGTTTATAGAGTGGACAGGATTGTATGATGGCATTTGTGAAAGCTAAGGAAGCAAAGCTCAGCAGCAGTAGGCCGGAAGAGGCTGTGTCCGTGGCCAAAGTGCTGGCTTGTCAAGGTACAACATGGATATAATAGAATGAATTTTCCATTCATTAAGTAAGGTTTTTGGTGATTGTTATGAATTTTGGTAAAACACATTCATGTGTCCTTGGGATAAGGAACAAAATAAAGTAAAAAAAAAAAAAAAAAAAAAAAAAATCTTCAATCAATTTATTTTTGTTTTTTCTCAACTTTTGGTTTTTTCTTGCAAATACTTTATATCTTCAGGTTTTCTCTAAAATCCTTCATCAATGCAACAATCTCAGAAGAAAAAAAATCACTGTTTGTTTGAATTAATTATAATTCACACCCACACTAAGTTCATAACCTGTGATGAGGGGCAACAAAAGACATTGTTTCTTATTTAAATATAAGGGAAGTATGTTTATAGGTCTGTGGTTGGCAGTTTGGGGAAACCCTGGAGGAATTTAAGAACCTCCGTGACTGTTCGCTGGCTCACAAGAAGGTGACTTTTGTAACTCACATATGAGGAACTACTGAAAGCAGGCTCATTGGCAAATACGAGCTGCAAATCCAGCGCTCGCTCCCATGCAACCAGTCAAAGACTTCAAGGTAGTGTCTTTCCTGTTTGGTATACTACTCTCCTGTTCATCCAGGAAAAAATATAAAGAAATAATGCATGTGGTAAAACATCTTTCCATGGCCCCAGCTTCTATAACTACTGCGTTTATATTATGCCAGGTTGATGTGTACATTCAACGACAAAGCTTGGCATCAAGTTTCATTGAGGTTAAAGGAGGGACTAAGCACCAAAGCTCTGGCTAATGCCATCACCAAAACACATATGACAAACAGTACAAGCATGCAATGACACATGATTCTGAATTGCATTTAACTTGAAATGATATCTTATTCTGCCCATATTTAAGCTTGTTTGACTCATGATGTTGTTAACCCTAACCCTAAACCATAATAACAATGTTACATACCACTATTGCTCAATCCTTGTGACAGTGTTCCTCCATTCCATATTAATATACAGTATTCTACATGCAACATTTGCAACAGCAATTTCTATTAGATGGCAAAACTGCATTTTTCTTCTACCAGCAGTTTATCAAACACCAATGCAGTGTCAATATGGATGAATCTAATCAAATTTGATGAAATAGAGACTAGTTCTTTTTCACCAATGAAACCCATTTGTTGTTCTTCCTGTTTCCAGGCCGTGGGTGCATTCTTACCCACAGAGGACCAACAGAAAACGTGCGACAGCTGGTGGAAAATGCAGGGTATGAATGGAGATCTGGTTATTGTTTATGATGTCAACAGGGATGCCTCACTGGGAGACATCAAAGGTACAGCACGAGTTCACTTCCTGGAAGACTATGGACTTTGATATTTTATTAATGTGCACAATAAATAATCAGTAAAAGCTAAAACAATAATGATTAAAATACTGTAGCCTACTTTCTTAAGTTGATATTTTAATCTTCACCTGTCTCTTTCTCCTAATCAACTTTCTTCTTACTCCCCTCAAGACCAGTGTGGCTACTTTGTTCATCACTTTGCTCCATCTAGTCTTCCCCGCATACCGAAGAATGTTGTCTTCGTTATTGATCAAGTGGCTCCATGCAGGCAGAAAAATACAACAGGTACAGTGTGAGGAAGCGTTTTAGTTTTTTATTTACTGTATGTTACTTTTACAGTCAACTTTATTTAGTACACAATAATTAGAACAAACATGAAACAAACATTATTAAATGGTATCTTACTTGATAAAAGTTTCTAATGCATAAATATCTTTTTTCCTCAGACCAGAAAGCATTGATCCATATCTTGAATGACCTGGCAAGAGGATGACTACTTTGGCCTCATCACTTTTGATTGCTCAGTTTCTCACTGGAGAAGCAGAACTTGTTCAGGCCAGCAAGAAAAACCTGAATAGTGCAAGAAATTTGCACAGGGTATTACAGATAGAGGAGGTGAGGTTTTTACAATGATATATTTTATTTTGGAGTGTAGAATCATTTGACCAGCAGAGAATGTTCGAAAAAGGAATTCAAACATTTTTTCTCATCTCATTTTAGCCCACAGACAATTAACGAAGCAGTGTTGGAAGGAATAGCGAGGATGCTGAATGCGCATCCCAGAGAAGGCTCAGCAGATGATCCTCATACTTCTCATTGATGGAGACCAACCTCACGGTAATGATAAAACACACATGCGTAAAACTTAAAGAAATAAACATATGGTCCCTAACAGCACAGTCCATTTTTAAATGACCTGTCATTGATTTGACTACAGTATTTTTCTCAGTTCCTGTCTCCTGTCAGCTGACTAAAACCAACCTGTGCAGGAACTTTGAAGATCTGGACATTTCATTTTAAATGACACAAACACTATTTACAATTAAGTCCGTGTACACACTCTAACACACTTTCACTTATCACAGGAGAGTTTGTTTGATTGTACTGTGTCAGGGAATTTGAGTTCGACTTGCCTATTTAACCAACGTGTCTTGTGTTCTTTGCAGGGGTGGACGAATCTTGAAACAAATACAGATAGGCCAATTGCAGAAAGGCTCAGGCTCATACGCTGACTGTCTTGGTTTTGGCTTTGATGTCAATTTTGACTTCCTGAAGACAATGTCACTGCAGAACAACGGTGTGGCACGACGGATTTATGAGGACTCTGATGCAGATTTACAGCTGAAGGTGTTTTTGAATTGCCTTCCTTCACATGATAGATACTCTGCTCATCATGTTTAATCTTGCGACTTTATCACAGACAAAACTGAGCATAGTTGACTGTGGAGAGATGAAGCATTCCTATGGGTCGCCTCACTGTGTGTCAACAGGGTTTCTATAAAGAGGTGGCCACTCCTTTGTTGACGGACGTGACCAATGATCTATATGGGTGGGACCAATCTAACCCAGACTAATTTCAGCCAGTATTACAACGGCTCTGAGATCGTGGTGGCCGGTCAGACTCACTGACAATGACATCGAAACCTTCAGCCCACACAAGTTCTGGCCATTTCAGTAAGGTCAATCCACACTGCCACATCAGCTGTAATATTCTCAAAGGGTTATGAATGTCCCCAGTGTATACTTAACAATTATTTGGACTATAATGACAGGGGACTAGAAAGGTGACATTTTCCTGAGTCAAACTCACTGTGGAGTCCACTGAAACAGTATCTGACGGCCTTCATCCAGAGGGGTTTGGGCCTATCAACGTGAAACAGCTTCTGGGAGAAAGAGTGAGTGTAAATGTCGACCACCTTTTCTCTTTGTTCTTGTTTGAATCAGGTATTTATTTATTCATATTCTATATAATCAATGATTTATTGAGTCTATGAAATTTAAAAAAATATTGGAAGGCCCATCTCAGTTTCCACCTGACGGTGACATCTTAAAATTGCTGAAAAGTAATGATGTTGATATCATGTTTTGTCTATGACTTAAATGTTTAATAATTATCAATTATCAATGTAGAAATGTGATTTATGATTCAAGTCAGTCTCTTGGCCATTTCCCAGGGCTCATACAGAAATAACAAAAGCAAGGTTTCCTCATTTCTAGCTGATGATTTTTCTCTGAAAATTTAAACAAGCAATGTTTGAATATGCACAAAAGTGGGAGATGGCCAGATGGCTGCAAAATTTGTTTCAAAAGAAAACAATTTCCTCCACCTTACTGGTCACGTCAGCTATGACATTTAAAACATAGTGTACACGACTCGTGACAACAGGCTGAAGTTATCTGAACCTGAGAAGGAGCAGGTGAGGAAAGGGCTTGGAGCTGTCGCTGAAGTACGGCTTTTGTGCCCCCGCTCACATCCATGGTGGTCACCAAGCCTCCGGGGAGAACACAGACGTGCTTCATAAACCCAAGGAAGGGGAACCGCTGCAAACGAGATATGTTCAAGGGCGTGGTCAAGCCCCTCCAGGAATGTTCCAGTTGGGGGCAGCTTCAGGATGAGTGAGCAACTACAATGTGAACAAAACAATACAATTCAAATCAATAGTATTTCAGCTTCTTCTTTTTCTCTTTATTTCAGAGGAGACATGTTTGCATTAATTTGGTATCAGGCGGTGTAATTACAATGCGGAAATACAGTTATTGAATTTAAATGGAATTATAGATTCCCTGTATCTGTTTTGTGGTATTGATAAATCAAAATTTCAAGTGGTTGGATGTGGAACTGAACTGAAGAAATTTGAGCATGAAATACAGTCAATGAACAAGAATTAAGTGATTAACCAATTGATTATTTTGTTTTCATGTTGTATCTTAAATTCATGTTGTTTTCTTTTTCTTTTTAGGGGACCAAAATCTGAGAATTGCTTATGATTCTGGCTTCACTCCAGGTATGACATTAGACATAACATACATATACACTGAATCTGATAAAACTACATTACATCTATTTTATTGTATGTAAAATAAAAACCCTGGTCAGGTTAGAGAATGGAGTTGCCTGTCATCCGCCGTCACCTCTGCAGAGGCCTAGTAATAGGTCAAAGCTTTTGGCCCATTTAACTGTGTATTGATAATAATAACATCACCTCTAGAAGAAGTAACATGAAGCCAAGCCATGTGTGCTCGCAACCTGCAGATGAAGGCCAGGACCTCGGCAAGTATGAGGCACAGTTATAAAACTTTGCAAGGACATTGGAGAGATCATGATGGGAAGTTATATGAGCAATGTGAGGAAGCCTTACGACAGTTATATGTTTCTTTAGGGATCATTCAGCAAGAGTTGTAAGTGGTACTGCTTGAATAAGCGCGTGCTCTGGCTAATACCACAGGTCATTCAGTCCTTGTAAATTAGCAAAGTCTTGGTGAGGTTTGGTCTCTGACATGACAGACCTCTGCTTTGAAATGGATGTAGTTCTGTTTTCATCGCACTCTTGGTCCGCTTGGGTTGGGAGGTATGAAGAAGCATTGCAGGTTCTTGTTAACCTGTGATGGGACTGACAAATGAAAGTGGGACTGGTGGAGTTGTTTGCCTTAGCCTGCAGACAAAGCTCTCTCTTTTCTACCTTCCAGCCTCCCCTATACACAATGTAAGAATTGTGATGTAGATAAAAATTTGTCTCGCCCCTGTCGGTCACACTGAGGGTGTCTGGAAAAAGCGCTCAGAGTAGGACTACTTCTGTTTGTGTTGAAAAGGAAAATAGTTTTAGAAATAATTTTGAAGGTAGTTGTCTCATGAATACAAAATCTCACAGTTTTTTTCTCGAGGAAAATTTCTTATCAAGTAATACTACCAAGACCTGCAGTAATTTTAAATGTGTAATATTCAAAGTTTATAGAGACGTTTCTAAATATTACTAGTTATATTGTAGCTGTAACTAAAATGTAACATACAAAAATGTAAATGATTATGAGATGAAAAATGTACATATGCAGGATAATAACAGATGTTTAATAATTAGATTTGACTGTTTTATTTTCCAGTTTTCAGTAAAAGGAGAAGCGGGCGCCCTCTTCATGGCTCACTGCACACACAGCCATATAAAACAACTTTGCAGGTTAACTTCTTATTTCTGGGCCAATTCTGGACTGACAATACTTCAAATTTTGTAATTATGGCACCACCACCTATGTTCAACTAACAAGCATGGAGGCAGTGCATACTTCCACCAAGGCTGGACAATCCCTGTAAAATTGATCCCTCCAATGATAAATCAATCAATAAAAGGTGCAAAGATCATATAGCCAAATAGGAAAATGCCTAATAAGGCAAAAAAAAAAATTCCCCCCCCCCCCCCCCAAAAAAAAAAAAAAAGAAAAGTTATTTCAGGGTATGTCTTCAGAGTATGGACACTAAAAGCGTTTTCCAAAAGATTTCCACAGGTGGAAAAAATATTAAAAAAAATATGTTCCTTCACAGAATGTATTTTAATACAGGAACCAACAGATTATTAAAAATGAAAATACATTTATGTAAAAACTACAGTACATCAAAAAATACATTATGACATTTTTGTGAGTATTTAAATCAATATTAGATTAAGCCTTTATACAATTTTGTATTTAGTGGTTTGTTGTAAAGATGCAGTTAGCTGTCAGAATATAGATGTCAATTAATGCAATTTCCTCTTCAATTAATACAATATCCTCTAATGATTTGTAATATAGATGTATATAACTGGCTTTGTGTACATTTTTTACAGAAAATGATCATCTAGTGGCCTTTCAAGACGCTTTGGATTTTGATGTAGCGGATTATTCATATATATTGCCCACCATTGTGGCACCGGCAGCAGCCACTGGTAGAGTAATGCATTGATTTAATTCATTGTATAGTTTATGTAAAATCTATCTGTTTCTGTTCCCTCACATAGTTAACTCAGTTAGAGTTCAATAGTTTCTTAGTTAAGACAATAGAAACGAATACACAACAAAACTGAGTACACTCCTGGTCAATATCACTATAATATTACATAATAACAAATCCTGTCCATTTTATATAATTTTATTTGTTTTTATCCAAAGCCCAAGAAGAATGAAGCCAATTAATTTGAAAAAAACTAATTTTTTTCCTAATTAAGCTATAATCAAAAGATCCATATTAAAGAGCCAACAGCAACAAAATTCAGTCCATCGTTCGTTAGAGAGATTCCATTCTTTTATTTTAATATTTTTGCATGTCCGCCTTTACTTACTACTGACAGATCCTATCTTCCTGGATCCTCCTTTATTCTCTGTGCCTATAGATGGTAAGTTCATTTGGGTTCCTCCAATCTTGTGAGTCTGAGAGTGTAGTAGTAGATGTATTTAATTCTCTAGTGCCACAGACATGATTTTACCTTGGAAATGTAAATCTCAAATGATGACACACTGTTTGATGCCTGTGCCACAATAGACGTACATATCTACTGATCACCACCAAAGTCCAGATTTGGATAGAATACTCATTATCAAACATGTTGTAATGCATCTTTATTTTGGTTAAATTGCAACTGAGTGCAAAAGCAGTTTATTTTCAGGACATGTGTTTCCATCTGCTCCGTGACTGTGTTTCTGCGTATCTCTAGTTCCTCTATCCCACAGGTTTTTACTAAAAACTGAGAATCAGTCTCTTCCACTATGCTTTGATGTCACTGGAAATATCCGCCTAAAGCTACTTCACTATCCCAACAGGGGTCAGTAATGTTCCTCTTTGTGCCGTCACTATTTTCCTTCACATTGATGATATATACCTTTCGCTCTCCATGTGTAATAGAAAATTGTTGTCTTTTTGTCTCATAATCTTTGTGTCAGTTTCAATCCATATTTACCGCCTAGTTTGAAGTGTGCATTTGTTCTTCTTTTGTACCAGAGCTGTCTGTGAACGGTGAGCTTGACTCAGTAGCAAATGGAGGCTTCACAAAAATCGTCATCCACTTCAAAGCTGACCAGTATGTTGAGGTTTACACCAATGAAGTGACTATACAAGATGGACAGACACTGACGCACCACACTGGAGAGGATCTCATCACAGTTGGAAGGTGACTTTGAACTGTAATGGTCAGGAATTCCACCATGATGATGCTCAGTGTTGTGTACAGGTGTGTGGCCTGAGGTCACGTCAGAGCGACTCTAGTTTAACAGTTCAGGAAACGCACTTATTGACTTCCTAGCTGAGATTTACATGAAAGGAGTGAGTCCACTCTCATGTCCATACACAAAGATGAAACATACCACCAGCAGCCATCTAACTTAGTTTATATCTCTGTGGTCCACCAAGAAACATTACAACGTCACAGCCAGGTAGGCTGTCTGTTTCCTCCTGTTTCTAGTCTTTACACTAAGCTAAGCTAAGCAGCTGCAAGCTGTAGCTTCATATTTACTGTACAGACATGAGTGGTGGTATCAGACTTCTCATCTAAGTCTCAGCACGAAAACCAATAAGCATATTTCCTTAAAAGTTGAACTTTTACTTTAAATCAATTGTCCCTCTGGTTTGACATCAGGCTAAATGAAAATGAAACACTGAAATGTCCAATTAAGGCACAGAAATATTCCAGTTTAATTCATGTTTTATCAAAAGGAGCTGTTCAAAAGGGCAGGGCAGTGCCAGACACTGACAATACACATGATGTTGAATTCCTCATTAATTCGCAAGTTCTTAACAACTGCAAACTGCTTTTTATAACTGAAGCACACTCCCACAGCTGATTTCAATTATTCTAGATGATAAGAGCTCTCGTCAGTAATGTATTGGAGTGTGAAGACTGTTTGATTGACACCTTCTTAGCTCTGCTGACACTTTATCATTCTTACTGATGCATCTTGTGAACTCACGTACGCCCTGCATAGCTTAGCACCTCTTCAGCCAAGACACACTCACCAAGCGCTTTATTAGGAACACCTCACAAATACTGAATGCGGCCTCCCTTTGCTCTTTGCTTTATTTGTTATCTATCTCTCATCAACAAGGTGTTTCCTTCCACAGAACTGCTGCTCACTGAATTATTGTCTTTTTTGCACCATTCTGAGTAGAAACTCCCGAGACCCTTGCATGTGAAAATCCAAGGAGATCAGCAGTTTCAGAAACACTCACATTAACAGAAGCGCCCAACCTGCATCAGCACAATTTCATGCGTTGCACTGCTGCCCCATGATTGGCTGATTGGATAATTGCATGGATAAGCAGATGTACAGGTGTTTCTAATAATGAGCTTGGGGAGTGAAAGTGAAGTTGTGAAATGACCTGTGTGGGTGTGCAGGGATTTAAAAAAAAAAAAGTCCAACAAAAATGAAAACAAGGTGAATATTTTTCTAGCGTGACAGTGATTAAGAGGAACAAGGAAGTAGATGTGGCAGCCGGAGACATCCGCATTGTTATCTTAGTTCATGAGAAGGACGGTGAAAAATTCCTGTGGCCGGTTTTAAGACAGAAGCCATCTGACAACAACATTGAAGGAATTTTAGGTGAGTGTGTGTGTTCGTATGTTCGTCTGTGCACAGCATGGAAAACTGTTGCATTTGCTTTTATGATTTAATATCAGGTCAACAATATATTGAATCAATATTTACATCCAGTTTGGTGGTTGATAAAGAAATAATTTATTAATAAAGAGGAATATTTTTGAACTGTGTCTCTTAAAGTGATTCATAAGTCATTTCTTTATCATTTGTCCTTTGTGTGTTCAGTTCTAAAGCCAGCAGTTTATGAGGAGGTGCAGCAAACTCCCTTATCAAAACTCAAGATCAAAGACCAGGAGATTGACGTCACCAGGTACTATTAGTTGGTATTATAAAGAGCTATTGAGAGTGCTATAATTATCATTACCCTGATAGACAAAGATTAATTTGTGTTTTTCCTGTGTAGATCCAGCACTGTTGACTACAGTATTGTCTCTCCCACAACACTGGACTGCTGGCTCATGTCTGCTGAGTCTGCCCTGCAGAGAGCCCTGGATGATTTCATCGTTGCACAGCTTTAACTGGGAACCACATTGAATCACTTGAAAAGATTTAATTCCGAATAAAAATAAGACAAATCCTAATTCATCATGGGAAAAGACTTTCAAGCTGTTACTAATATAAACAAATAAAAAGCATCCCAGATCTTTGGTTGTCTTGAACTTAATTAAGTAATATGTATGTAGTGGATTTGTCAGATGGTGTCATGGTTTCATTTTGTAAAGAATAATACTTCCAAACTTAAGAATTTCATTCTAAAAAAATGATGGATTTAAAACCTTGGTTCTACAGCACAACAGTACGACAACAACTTATCTTCCAAAGTGGCTTGAATGCAGAGTTGTCAAATCCGGTCATCGATTCGACAGCTTTATTATTCACATAAAATTATAAGGTTAAAATCAACGGAATTAAAGTAAACTTAATTAACCATGCTGAGTAACAGCAACCCGTGGTCAAGCACTACATCATTGCTACAGGCTTTGTAAGAACCTAGTTAGCAGCAGAGTTGACCGTAAGGATCAATTCTACAGTCTCTTGCTAAAATAACCTTCTGATAAGCATCCAAATACTTTATAAATGAAGAATGCATCAAGATTAACCAGTAACCAGTGTATAAACATGTATAAAATGGAAAAGTTCAGGGTCAGTGTACACTGTTTGTTTTGAGTCTGGTTTGAACACATTTCCCAGGAGTGATAGGCAGATAGGGCTTTTGTATTTAGTTCACCATTATGTGGTCAAACCAGTCGAGCTGCTATACATGAGCCATGTGTGGTTGTATTTCATCTGGGATTGTTCTCCCTCGAGTGCATTACTAGTGCAGATGGAAGTGAGTGGATTCTTTTGAGCAGAAGTGATAAACTTGTTTGCCATGGCACAGTTTACTGGGAACCACAAAGGAAGGAATCCATGCCAAATCCATGTAACAGGACAAGCAACATATAACACATAGCTGCTAAGGAGCCAGCTGTAAAGTGCCATCACTGTTTAAAAAGCAGGCCTGTTTATAAAACTGCTTTAATCCACTGTGCAAAGGTGGAGTCTTGTTTTGATGAAAAAGTATTTGTGAACTTTGATCCATCAAGGTTGTGCTGGTTACACAGTAATGAGGGAGTTTTAATGGTGGCCTTTAATATGATAAGGGACTGCGCCGAGACTAAATCAGAGATAGACGAATGGAAAGAGAGAGAGAGAGAGAGAGAGAGAGAGAGAGAGAGAGAGAGAGAGTGAGGGAGAGACTGAGGGAGAGGGAGAAAGAGAGAGAGAGGGAGGGAGGGAGAACGAGAGAGAGGGAGGGAGAAAGAGAGAGAGAGGGAGGGAGGGAGAACGAGAGAGAGGGAGGGAGAAAGAGAGAGAGAGAGAGAGAGAGAGAGGGAGGGAGGGAGGGGCATCTCTTGAGTCAGGTCACTGATATGTTCTCATGACTCACACACTTCCAGACTGTTTTGACAAGGTGTGGAGCTGAGTATCCTGTGGAGAGGAAACATTTCAAGAGCGTCCTAAACACAGTAAGTAACCTAGATGATATTCCAATGGGGGTAATTTAATACAATTTCTAATGTTACGTTAATTATACACATTTATCTCATAGCACTGTTTGCTTGCGTCATGCCTGAAGGTGTGTCAAGAAGGGGCTTTTCAGTTCCCAGTCATTACTTCTGCTAAGGGATTTGTGAACTTGACACCTCAAGTCAGTCTTATACCAGAAAACTATTGGAGATAGTTTGCTTTAAGTTTTATTCACAGCAAAGAAAGAGCTGTCAAAGAAAACCTACTCCGGAAGTCATTTACAGTAAGTCTCTTTTTCCCCCCAGGCAATAAACAAAGGTCACTGATCGCCATACAAGTGTGCGGTTTCTTCCAGGATATCATCATTACATTTATCTCTAACCGAAAGTCATGATGGGGAGAAAGACTCTGGACTTGTTAAACATTTTCACGTTGCTCTTGGAGAGAAATACGTGCAGACAGCGGCTGTAGGACTCAAACCTTTCTGAGTGACCCGAGACAACATGTTTCTACCTGGATGGTTCATTTGGTGGGTTTCACTGACCATACCCATGTCAGCCTGTGGTTTGGAGGTTTCTGGACATGACAGCGATGAAGTCATTTGCTCACAGGTACTGTAGTGCACACTGCTTGGATACACTGAAGCAGACATTTCCTGTGCTGCAGTACAGATTACACTTTTAATTTCCTTTCAATATGGACATACACTGCTCTGACATTTTAATTTCCCTTCTCACTGATTTAGTGTTTTATTCTCAAACAGTTAATTAAAAGCAGGCAAAGGGTTTTATAGCCACCTACCATCTGCTCACAATATAGGGCTGTTGTATGTACATTAATCCCCAATATCGGCCTCTGAACAGCAAATTTTTGCCCTCCAGACTGATTGAGTAAAATGTAAAACAGTTTTCCCTGTCAAATGTTGCTTCTTTTAAGGGTCTCTCTGAGTGCACCATGAAGGATGAGATACCCTTTCTGCTGGAGAATGATGCTGTGGATGTTTTAAACCTAATGGCGTATTTCAAGCTCTGCTCACAGAGCAGTGAGTCTTGTACATTATGTCTGGTGATAGACATGGAGCTCCACATCCATCCTGATAACGACATGGAGGATGAAGACCACTCTGGGCTTGATGGGGAGGATTACAGTGAGGTGATGAGGGATCCAAAAGGTATAAACTAAGACTACATGCAGCCCACTGTCATGTCATTACTTGCTATTAAATGACCGTACTAACGGTTTTGTATGTTTGAATCCATTATCCAATCCACTGATTGGTCTTTGTGTTACTGTGAACCATCTCCCAAAGTCTACCACAGGTTTTTTAAGTGATTTCCTGCCGTCAAGACGGCTATTGAATTCCTTTTATTTCAGTAATTTGTGAAAATCAATTTGCAGAGACTTTCAAATTGCTTGTAAAAGGCAACCCATCACAGTGAAGAATTACTCTACTCTTCTTCTCTACTGTTTGTCAAAGTTATAAACGACAATGTAGTTAATGTAGTTACGAGCAGAAAGTCTTTTGGACACCATCCAAGCTCTGACAGTGAGCTGTAAAAAAGTAGTGTTGTGGGATGTTGAGAAATCGTTACTGGAAGAATGAATGAGCACAAACATGGAAGTTGATTGGAAAAGGATCATGTAAAAGGAATGTGAAGAGTGGGTGTAGAAGTGAATTTTAAGTACGTTTCTGACAGGTAAAATTAACTTTTCTGTGGCTCTCATCTCTGACATGTTTCTCTGTGTTACAATAGCCTCTGTGACAGTGTGTTACAACACACCGTCTACCATACCCACATGCAAGAAGGTGGAGTTCATGGTTAATGACGCAGCTCTTACGCAACAAAACCAGGCAAAGGTACGGTAGAGTACTGGAATAAGCTCTGTGTTGTCAGTGGAGATACAGTGTATCACTTCCACCCACCTTGTCTTATAAACTCTGTGTGTATGTGTGTGTGACTTCTGTAGGTGTCCATGGTGATTACTGAGCCATCTGGGGTTTCCTTCAGCACTAAAGTGTTTGTTTATCCTCATGAATTACTACATCTAAAACAAGAAGTTATCGCTCCTTCTCTACATAAAGGTAAAGTTTGGTCTTTCAGAGGTTTAACTTCAAATCACCTATTGGACTTATAAGTGTCTGCTACAAATATGGTAACAGTGCGTGACACATACTGTATGTGTCCTCAGTGTGTTCCCAGGAACTGAAGAAATGTGTGAATCAGTGTCGTGGTAAGAAAAAAAAAAAAATCCTCCACATAACACATTTATTGGTTTTCCTTGTGACGTTTTGCATTTGTATTCGTCTTTCAGCAATAAACCAGTTATTCTTCTTCTCTTTTTCAGTGCCTGATATCAATATTTCAATTCACGAAGATATGAAATACGTGGAGCTGCTGTTCGATGGCAACAATAACAGCGTCCCCTCTGTGTGCGTCCAGTATGAGCAGAACGGGACATGTCAGGTCAGTGTTGTTGGTGCCTAAATCTGGTGGCTGTTACAGTTTGTCATTTGTTTGGTGCAGAGGTGGAAGAAGAGCTCAGATCCTTTACTCGAGTAAAAGAAACAAAACCACAATGTAAAAATACTCAGTTATTAGTGAAATTTTACTTCTGTGTTAGTACAGATATTATCAACTAAATGTGGTAAATGTGCTCATTGCAGAATGGCTCTTTTCAGAATACTACATTATTATATCATCGTTATTATTATTTATGCATCACTAGACGGGATTTATTTATTGTAGCTTGTGGAGGTGGAGCTGATTTTTACACTGTTGGGTAGTTTAAGGTCATATTTCAACATTTTGGGAAATACGCTTTAATCTATTGCAGTTCCTCGTATTTTATAAGATAATCAGGGTGTCACTGTGTATAAAATCCATATTTCTAAAGTAACAAATAACTGCAGCTGTTAGATAAATGATGTAAAAAATAGATTTCTCTCTGAAATATGACTTTATAGAGTTGGAACAAGAAGAAAATCCCACTCTATTCTGTGACCCACTGCATGTGTTTCCAGGTACAGTCACTTACGCATCATGATTGGTTATATCAAACAAACCAACAGAGCTGTGTCCTGCACAGATTTAAATGACTGTCGTGTTTGGGGTTTTTAGGCATGGTATGATCAGAACTACGTGCGCGCTCGAAGATGCCCCTTCAGAAACAAGGGTGAGAAGATTTATAGTCTCTTCTTCAGTTTCACTGGACAGGGTGAACGATGGGTAGTTAACCATTGGTATGCTGCTGTTTCCTGTATGTCTACTCCAGATCTATCCCACAGGAACGTGTGGGAGAACGTGTCAGTGTCTGTAAGCCATGGTCACTCCAACCACTACGGCTCGATGCTGCTGTGGAACATATCTGCCCCCTGCAGGCTGGAGGGTGAGGTGTGGCCCTGTCACAAAGAGAACAGCTGCAAGGAGATGAAGGGCCTCAGAGAACAGCTGGCAAATGACAGCTGGAGACAAAATAGCAAAGGACTCTGGGTATGGAAACCATAGTGAGCCTTGTACCCTTCATTTTAACCTCTTTCCCACTTTTATTTCCACTTGAGTGCTTTAAGTTTGGAAAAATCATCATATTCCACACTATCTAGTATCACATATATACTCTGTCTCAGCTTGTTTCAACACTTAATTGAAGCTCTATGATGTATACACTGAGCAAAACATCCATGTTTTTATGGCTGTACCATTGAATAAAATATTCCAGATGCCTTGTGCAAAATTTTATATACGTTTCACATAGTTGGATTCACTATAATTTAAAACGAATTTCTGGTGGTGTGAGGACTGTGTGGCTGCACAGAATGTTTAGGAAACTAATAAGGGTTACAACTGTGTTCTCCTCAGGAGAAAACAGGGGCGTTTGAAGACATAAACCTTCAGCTCTCACCATGTGTTATGGTAAAGTATTCTCAACAGTCAGACAAAGAGTCATAGGGTATAAATTCCTGAAGCTGAATAACTGAATAACTCAGTCATGTTTATTCATTTGTGCAGGTGAAAGTAAAAGGAATGGGACGTGAGCTGGGTCCGTTCTGCTTTAATAACAGTAAGTCTGACACACTTTATTGATATAGAAACTGATACTGGTTGGGAGATGATTTACTGTATTCAGCTAATGTACAGTACCTGATATAAATTGGGTTCTGTTTTGTGGTCCTTGCAGCTGACAGGTGGCGCTGGAGTCTCCTGGTTGTCGGTGTTGTGCTGCTGGTTTTCTTGGCTGTGCTCTTATTTTATTTACATCACGAATTTGTCAAGAGTAAGTTTTTTTTTTTTTTTTTTTGGATCACGTGTGCTAAATATGTAAGAATACCAAGGAAAAAAACTGCAGTACATGAAGCAGACAGAGCAGTATTTAATTTCTCTGCTCTGGAATTGGTAACTAACTCACAATAAAAAAATGTGTCGTCCAACTTGAATGGTATTTCCTCAGGGGCTTACCACAAAGGCTCCTTTCATTCCCCTCAAAGACCAAATCTTGTTTACTAGTTGTGGGAATTGTTCATAAAGTATGCATTGTTATGTGCATTTTACCCACACATATGTGCTGTACATGTATATTTACTCTTAAGTTTCTAACTTTTCTAGAATGGGTGTGGAGCTGGCATCATGGCGGATTTGTGAAGAGTAAGTTTTTTTTTTCTACATTTCCTAAAAAACACATTAAGTCATGGTGGAACAAGCCAACTCTCTGACATTCATGTTGTTTTCCCTGTTCAAAGTCAGCAGAAAGGGTCACGTGGTGCTGTTGAGCCCCCCAGATTTGGATGATGGTCTTTCAGATTCAGTTTGTCGACTCGGCTCTCTGCTCTGCAACAAAGGCTTCAATGTATCTGTGGACCAGTGGAGCAGGAAGGAGCAATGCACTCTGGGGCCTCTGCTGTGGCTGCACTCAAAGCTACTGGAGCTGGACAGCCAGGGGAACCGAGTTGTGGTCGTTTTGAACCGCGAAGCCATAGAGAGAACGGAGGAATGGATGCATCAGTACGAGGAGGTTATCAAGACAAAGGGGGAAGACAAGGGTCTCCCTCAGATATGTTCCCCTTACTCTGACCTGTTCACAGCCTCCCTGTGCATCATTCATGCGGACAAGCAGCTGGGCAGGGCTGGAGAACGTTTTCTTCTGGTAAAATTTGACTCTCATCCGAGCAGTGACAGGAATCTACCAGAGCTTCTTCAGGGGCTGCCTCTGTTCCAGCTTCCCTTTCAGACTCAGGCACTCCTAACTGAGCTAACTGTGGGACACACTGGGACATCAGGTGGAAAGACATGGACATGGTGGAAATGGGGCGGCTCATATGGATGGAGTTCAAAGACTAAAGAGGGACAAAACCAGCAGAGGGCATCACTATATAAATACCTTGGAGTTGAGAAAAACTTGGAGACAAAACCCTTAAAGCACCCATGAAGGACAAGTTCATCCAAGTCATGGATGAACTAAAGATCTGACATTCTTTGGCAACAACCTATGTTGTGGTTGTTGTCAACAAATCCCATTAAAAGACCCAAATCAACAGTGGATGATTCTACCTCTCAGTACTTTCAAGGCCTGATGTGTCCACATACAGTGGCAAGAAAAAATATATGAACCCTTAGGAAGGACCTGGTTTTATGCATTGATTGGTCAGAAAGTGTGATGTAATCTTCCTCCATCCTGTGTCTTTAATGAAACCAGTCATTAAACATTCATAGTGCTGGTGGAAACTCTGGACCATTATTTCTACAGAATTGCTTCAGCTCAGCCGTCTTCTGTCTGGTGTCAACATTTCTCTTTAGGTCATTCCACAGCGGCTCTGACTGGCTTAAGGTCTGGACTCTGACCAGCAGCCACAGAACTGTTGTCTCCATTAATAGACAGTTTGTCTAACGGTGGACTGAGGAATATTTTTACTCTTTGACATGACTTTGTAACCCGTTCCAGCTTTATGCAAATCAACAATTCGTGTTCGTAAGTTTTCTAAGAAGTCTTTTTTTACAAGTCAAAGTAGCTGTAACCCACACCACCTCCAATCTCCAATTAGCTTTTGTTTATGCCATTAGCCGAAGGGTTCACATACTTATTCCAGCCTACACTGTGAATGTTTGGTGTTTTCAGTTTGGGCATGAACAATACAATGATTTAGATGTTATTAATTAAAAATGATTGTGTGTGTTCATACTTGAAACTTTGATGAAGATTTGACCATATTATATTAATTTATACAGGAACAGAGGTGATTTCAAAGGGCTTACACTTACTTTTTCTTGCCACTGTAAGATTTGAATGAATTTCCTATGACATCTGGGCACTGGGCAGTTTTTAGCAAACGTTATGCAAGCAGGAGTAAGTAGTGCATCTGTTTAGATCTGTTCTAAGCTGAGGATTTGATGCATTTGTGAGTATTAAGTGCAGTAGGATGTGTATGATGGCCTCACAACAAGCTGCAGTGCCCATGTTTTGTGTACTGGAGGAACATGTCACATGTCAGTGTAACAATGTGGCTCACTGGTGTCTTTTAAGTTGTTTTTGGACAACAATGGAGCTGTATGGCACGGAGGAATAAGCTACACCAGTCATTAAGTTATAATTATCAATTCATTGTTTGTTTTGGCTTTTTTCCCACTGAATCTGGTGATTATATTAAAAATATAAAATATAACAAGACATATCCTTTAAGATGTAAAATGTTTAACCTAAAATCCCTCAGACTAAATATGTCCATGTAGGCCTACTGTAGGTCTGTGCACACTTGTCTATAAATAAATGTGCTTATTTCTGTGCGTGGCAGATCCCGACTTGTGATTGGTCAGCTTTAAAATGTGCGGGGCGGTGGATCTGATTGGTGCAACCCAGTCTCAGTTTACGCTCACAGAGAAGCGCTTGTTACATACTGCGTTACATTCTGGCGTGGCGGTGCTATGAGGCTGATACGTGCCCCGCTCGTTCGGGATGTTTGGGTCGCAGTCTGTCACATAGGCGACTCTCTGGTGAGCTGAAACAAGCTTGCGTCATGCGGTGGTTGAAACTTTACTACTCCAGAGTCAAGCGACGCACTTGAAAGAGGTAAATAAAACCATCTCTAGATTTTGTTTTAAGGTCGACGTTAATGTTTGTTGACTGCTCCATTGTCAGATTTAGATTGATTTGTTGTAAATGTAGAAATATAATAACAGTAAATAAAGTTAAACGACGAATACCACAAGAGATTAACAGGGTGCATTTTAGGAGCAATAATTACATTAGTTTGTCATTAGGAATAAAGGGCCACGTGAGATAATAGTTTGCCAGAAAGTGGCACATATTCAGCAGTTTATAAGCCGAGATCTGTGCATCTGTTGGAGAAACTTACTGTAACTTACTGAAACTTAATGTTTCAGTTTATCAAACCTGTTATGAGTTTCTAATTTGTATGCCTCACACGTGTGGAAGAAGTCCTGGGACTTAGAACAAAAGTATTATTAGAAAAAAATTGGAAAAAAAATGAAATACACATGATGGAAAAGGGACGGTTTCATAGGCCTAGTACCAATATGCATGTAATAAGCATGTTTTTTGGTTGCAGCTCGTTGAAGTGCTGCTAATTTTAATTAATACATGTTTATAATTCTCACTGTAGAAGTAACTGTAAATGTTGGTAAATGTAGTGAAGTAAAAAAAAATACATATTTACATTTTAAATTTAGTGAAATAGTATTAAGTGGAAGGAAGGAAGTGGAAATTGTACCTGGGTACTTGACAGTCATACATTATCTCAAGGGTGATGGGATATAAGCTAAACTGTATTTTGTCTCAAACATGGAGCTTGTTTTATCCCTTCTATACCTATTTTGACAGCAGTCTGTTCTTAGCTATTATGCTCACAACTTGCAAGCATCATTTAACAGACCTGGATGTGATATTTTGGAGGAAATAAACAACTTTATCTTCTGGAGCAGATGGGAGTAAGGATGCTTCATGGGAACCTGCTGCAGGCTGCTTGGCTGTGTTGTCTGTTGGCGGTTCAGGTGCACAGCTGTCCTGGTACCTGCAGTAAGTGTTCAGGCCCAGAGAGTGACCAGTGTGAGGAATGCAGAGCAGGATGGACACTCCATAACAACAGCTGTGTAGGTACTGTATGCAGAGCTTTGTGTATGAGTCTTGAAATCCCTATATACTGTATATTGATATGACATAAGACAAGGAGAATTATCATTGGATTACATATATATGTTTTGAATATATGTTTTGTTTTATAGACATTGATGAGTGTGGCACTGAGCTGGGCAACTGTCCTTCCAGCAGTTACTGCTTCAATACTGAGGGGTCCTTCGAGTGCAGAGGTCAGTGGGTCAGGGTCTGAGAAGCACCGTATGTTTTCATGTCTTCAGACGGTTTGTTTTGTCCAAAACCCACAGAGAACTGCAGAAAATCTTTAGATTCATGAGGCTGGAGAAAAAGAAATGGCTTAAACAGTATTTCAAAAAGTTAATAAAATTGTTTTCCAGTGTCACTGTGGGACCAGTTGTACCACTTTTCAAGATACAGTACAACTGTGTTTATGTACACGTCTTACAGCTTTTAAAAGAGTGTTTAAAACTTGCTGATAACACAACACAGTCTGTAAATGAAGATATTACATGATCACTCTCTTTCCTCAGCCTGTGACTCGGCCTGTGTGGGCTGTATGGGTAGCGGACCAGCACGCTGCAGGAAATGTGCCTCTGGGTACAGACTGACAGGGTCCAAGTGTTTGGGTAATTACAAATTAGAGATCATTTTTAGTATTATTTCATTAGCATGTATCAATCCTGTGTTTCTGAGGAACAGCAGTAATCTACAAGTCTCTGATGAGATTATATCACGTGCCTCTCGTTCTTTTGCTCAGACATAGATGAATGTAGTGACAGGGTCCTCGCCTGCCAAGGCCTGGATGAGATTTGCACCAACACAGACGGCTCTTTCCGCTGTGACTGTGCTAAAGGATTCATCCGCAAGGACAGTGTTTGTGTGAAGAAGCAGCTGCCCAGTGAGTCTCAACATACACACAGAAGGATGTTTACACCCACACCTAACACCTAACCTCACTGCAACCACTCACACATCCATTTCCTCCTGTAGGTTCTGAGGAGAAAGGTCTGTTTGAGGATATCCAAGATGATGAGGTGGAGGTGCTGCAGCAGATGTTCTTTGGGGTGGTGATTTGTGCTCTGGCCACACTGGCTGCTAAGGGAGATTTGGTCTACATGTCTGTATTCATGGGAGCAGTGGCAGCCATGGCAGGGTACTGGCTCTCTGACAGGGGAGACCGTTTGTTACAGGGCTTCTTAAAGGGACGTTAAAGTCCAAAACTGTTGCAAAAAGGACTTAAACATTTCATATGGTAGACGGACAAATGCTTATGCCACTGTTCAAGCAGGTTAATCATGTGCATTCACTTGTACTATGGACAATATAAGTTATTGACATGAAAATATTTTATGCTGTGAAAGATGTTCATTACTGTCACACTTCTCTTTCTGTTAGAGAAATAATCATCATTGAACAACGACAGAAACACCATGAAAACTTTGACAAAAATGTCAAATAGAACCTTGTAATTCCAAGGGGACATTGTTCCTGAGTTAACGCGTTGCATAATGCCTACAAGTGTTTCTGCAGAACATTATGATGTCACAGTGAAGTTGATCTTTGACCATTTGGGCATAAAATATCATCACATCTTATCCTACTAGACATTTGTGTTATTTGTGTCATGATTAGTGTATGAATTCTTGAGTTATGGCCAAAAATGTGTTTTGTGAGGTCACAGTGACCTTTGACCTTTGACCACCAAATTGTAATCAGTTCATCCTTCAGGCCAAAAGTGAATGTTTGTGCCAAATTTGAAGAAACTCCCTCAAGACGTAACTGAGACATTGTGTTCATGAGAATGGGATGGACAGACAAAGACGGACTACCTGAAAACATCTGGCCACAGCTGTCAGCTAAGGCATAAAAAGAAGTTTTCACTGACTGTCCAGCTGTTACATTTTCCTGTACTGAGCTGGAAATGAGCCATGATTGTTGATGACGATGATTGTTTTTTTTAACACCTGACATTTGTAGTAGCCAAAATACAGTGTTGCCAGGTCAGGCTTTAATGATGAAGAATTTACAGCATGAATTTAAATGTAGCTGTACAGGTATGTGTTCATAAAGCATGTAGTATAATATTTAACTCTCGTACTATGTTAACCACAATGTATTTATACTAAAGCTGTAACATGATGAGATTTCGAATGTTAAAACCCCTTTTCTCCATGTGTGAATTTATATATATAAACGCTGAAATAAATACTGTTAACACTCTTCATACTCAGGATTATTCTTGTTGTGCAGGCAGCCGCTGCTAATGACGTTATTAATGCAGGATAACTCGGCATCTGTCTTCATTACAGAATATTAAAAGAACTTTCTGATAATTTTTCTACAAAACTTGTGAAAATAGACAAAACGGTATCAATTATATGCACGCTGAAGTTTCAGTAATAGATGAATGTATCGTTATTGGTGTAAGTTTCCAAATTAGCTGAATTATTTTGTATTCTAATCACGTAGTACGTTTTCTGCCAAGCATAGGCAGTTCCTAGTGGAGTACTCTACTACAGTAAAAAAAAAAAAAAAAATATGAATAAGAAATTGAAACTAAACTTCACTTGCCAATGTGCCTGTTTGCATTTTACATCAGCATCACACCATGTTTGTGTTAGTATTAGAAAACTATGAAGATTAAACTGTTTTTAACTTTGCGAAGAAAATCGCAAACAGAGACAGAAAGAAAGTCACCTTTATTTGATGGATATAAACAAGCTGGCCAACACTCAATAGTAATATTCTGATACAGCACATACAATAGCAAACTGGGGCACTGAGGACAGCCTCCTAGGTTTAAAAAACAGAAAACATTACAGAGTATCCATGCTTCATTCAAAACACTTGCTCAATCTCGCTTTTTTTCTCTAGGGACTTCCTCTGATAAAGTTTTTTTTTTAAATAGATTTTTCTCTTGTGCATTCATTACACACACAGTCACACACACACATACTGACACACAGACTACCCCGGAAAACAATAAATGCAGTTGTACACATATACGCACGCACGCACACAAACACACACACACACACACACACACACCCACACGCACACACACTCTCACACACACACTCATGTCTCTCTTTTCTGAATACATTTACACCAGCAACCCCGAAAACATGCTGCACTCTCACAAAACTGCACAGGCTGTCTACTAAGAGGACACAGTAAGTGAGACACACATCACTCTCAAACACAACATCACACCGTCACAATGCACGATGCAGATGCAATTAATGTATGAGGAATGATGCTTCATGGGAGATTAGCTCACGTTCACACAAGTAATCATTCAGCATGCTGGACACTCACATTTAACTTGTTCCTAGGTCTTTACTGTACAGCTCAAAACATTTACTTATACAAATAGTACAGTCTCAAACTGGCATATTCAATAAATAAAGCTAACTTAAATACAAAAATGAATAATAAAAAAGTAAACACAATATTTGTTTTATCAAACAAAAATGTTTCTGGCATTGGTCACAGTGATTTGTTTAATCCAAAGTTTTTAGCGACATACAATAAAAGAAAAACAACCTGTATACAACAATAAAGTGAAAATGTATGTTAGGCTTTTCATACTTTTTTTTTTGGAAGGCCTTTTGAAAATTACTGGTGAATCTACAGGCCTTTCAACTCAAGTCCCTCTACACGGCTGCTTCTAGGCACAGATGCAGACTTGACTTCTTGACTCCACCTCACACTGAGTGTGATGTCAGTCATTCACAACCAGGATTAGTCTATAGTCTAAGCCCAGGAAACCAGCCCCAGCCTCTAAGCCTCGCGCCTCCTAAACCTTTTTGACACAACAGTTGAGAAATCGCTCTGCATAGAGAACAGGAGATTATCCTTACATCATCACTTTCAGTTGGCACATTATGTAAAAATCAGCATGCATGGGCACAGTTGAAATGTTCCATGTTGTCTACCATGTAAATCATATATGCTATTTCATGGTAGGAGAACCCCCTACTTCAAGTATTCAGTAGATAAGGACCTGAAAATGGAGGATTCGTACTCCGCCCCCCTGATGGTGAAGTGAGAGGATTTTCGCTCCTCTGTCTGTTTGCATTGTCGTCCCTTTATTTTTATTTTTTTAATCTAAATCAGGACCTTTCTCTTAACATTTGTAAACACAAACACCAAAGTTTCACACAATCTGTTGATTCTTGGTCAGTGACAAGAGCTGTTAAGGTTCATGGAGGAAGCAGACACGTAAAACATGAGACATGGATCACCTCTGTCTGTGAAGATGGGTTGGGTGGGGTGGGGGGGTGGTGGAAAGACATTTATATACAACAATCAACACTTGGCCATATCAGGGAGACACACAAGCACCATGAGAGGGGGGGAGAGGAAGTGGGGATAGTAACAGTCTAATTCAATTTTCCGCTATACTGTAACAATGTGTGTTGGTTTTTTCTATTTAAATCAGCTGTCACAGTCACATATGTCACCACTTCTGTTTACACGACGACGACGACGACAAACACGCGAAACAAATGCATCCCGACAGAGTCACTCAAACCTCCACTTAGATGTTAGTAGTGATAGTCCTCACTCACAAGTGCAAGTTTCTGACTGCTGAGTGCAGCAGACATAATCTCATTGCTAACAAACACACCTGCAAAATTCCATGTTTTTTTTTTTGTTTTTTTTTTTTTTTTTTTTTTTTTTTTTTTGTTCTTAGTTGTTACCACAGGCCAGGTGGTCTTCAACTGAGTGGTTTTCACATTTAGAGAGGAATGTAATAATGTCATCTTTTCGAGACTTCTAGATAGATTTGGATACACTTCTCTATTTCCCATAAACTGTTCTAAAGCTCTTATTTATTTTTTCATTTGGGCTGTCCTGTATTTTCAGACAGGGAATGTTACTTGCTGCTGAGGGGTTTTCTCACAATGTACAAATCAGAGGAAAAATCACACCACTCAACACTCTAAATAAGACATCTCTCTGACCTCCAGCCAGTTAGAAAAATAACCATGAAGAAAAAACATATAGTATCTCGTCAGTTTGAAACAATTTTCTGACCACATATAGACACACTCTATAGATTTCTCTCTATATGTATAATATATGCATATCTATCATATATGTGTACAGTTTTTACGAGGCACAGGCCACCTTGTTGAGAAGGAGAAAACAAGTCACTATGTTTGGGGAGGTCACACAGACTACTGGTGGAAGAGTACAAGGGAGAGGGAAGCAGGAGCATACTGTAGGTCAGAGACTCGGGTGTCAATGGTACAAACAGACCTGCAGGGAAAACATCTATTGGACATCGCCTCCACTTCATAGTCTATAATTTTATTTATATTAGCAGTATTCATAGAGGGAAATCTCCTCTGTGTGGGTCTTGAAGTGATTGTTGCTCACAAAGCCCCAATTGTCAAATCATATGTACAAAGTCTTTTACAGTTGTTTATGAAGCCCGTTGTGGGATCGAATCCCTCTACTGTAAAAGGACTAAAAGATGCTCTTGACCAGGTCTTCTGACACCATTTAGTTTGAGCACCAGCAAAAGCACCATTAGTAAAAATTCCTGCAACACAGAGGAGGTGCATAGGTGCATAGTCTCAGAAACTCAAAATACTCTGATGAACATTTTCTGACCACTCTCTTGGCCACTCTGATTGGATGGTTAATTACACTTTGATTGATAAATTTTAGTGAGGATGGGGAAATAAAAATGCATTCACTCTATGTTGACATCTGCATAGATTGATTCTTTTTTTTTTGACTACTTCTGATTAAAATGAGGTAATATGAAGAGAAACATCAATGGCAACCACAGCCTTAAGGCCAAAACAAGCCCAGGAACTGGAGGGCCCTGCTCATGCAGCCAAGGAAACCCCTCGATGCTGCAGACAAGGCTAAAGGCGTACTAGCAGTCAGCTCAAAGCTCTTCCGGTTGCCAACAAGAAATGACGACAAAAAAACCTAAAAGCATTCAAATCTGGTGTGTGTGGAACATGCAATTCTCAGGTTTGGGGGGAAAAAAGCAAGTAAAGGGACAATACATAATTTTTTTTAGAGGTGCTGAACATGAGGTTCTCTAGAAAGGGGTGATTTGGGGTATGATAAAGGTAAAAAAAAGTTATTGGGTGCCACAACCAGGTGAATAAAACAAAAGAGACTCTGCACACTGAGGGTCATGATAGCCAGGCAGAGGGGTCAGATGTCACCAGGTGGGGTCAGCAGGGCAGTGAGGATCGAGAAACCATGACATAGTCAAGCAGGGGAGCCAACCAGAGCCAGAGGAGTCAGTCAGGCAGGTGAAACAGACAGCAAGACAACCATGATCTTGAACCAACTAAAAGAAAAAGGATGAGGAAAATAAAAACTAGGCTGGCAGACAGTCATGAGATTTCTGCTGGGAGGATCAAGAGGGCGTTGTTGGTCTGAAGCAGGTGACAGACAGGTGAGGTGACCTCTGTGAGACCTCTGATGCAGGGCATGCCTGTTCAAACTAACAATCTGACACAGAGCACTTCAACATCTGCCTCTTTCTATCTAATTCAGTCCCGCATCTGTGATTTGTACGGAGAAAGTGGCCGACATCTGCTCCTGTTCACACGAAGAAGAGGTCCCAGGTCACCCTGAGCAGAAAATGAAGAAGAGCATAATTTAAACTTCAGATGTCATAAAAATGTCATAGTATAGTAAGACATCAAAAATATCATAAAATGTCGTAGTATGGCAAGACATCAAAAATGTCATAGTCATAGTATAGTAAGCAACTATCAGATGTTTTGATGTCTTTGTGTGAAAGGCGTGAAATTACCTGCCCAGCTGTCAGCCTCCCCACATGACCTGCACACCTGAGCGCACCTTCCTCTTTCCCGGAAAATAAACAAAAGTCCCATTGCTGAGTGCTGATAGAGTGGCGATAACAAATGTTTGGTTGGGTAGTAGTGTTTCAACATCATGGCATGGCTGTGCTCTTCCAGTAGTGACTGAATCATCTGAATGCAAAAGAAAAAGATCATGTCATGTCATGCAGCTTTTTAGTTTGTTACAAAGCATAAGACACAGGAAACTGAGAATCGTAAAGTGGAAAAGTATATCCAAAAAAAAATATATCTCACCCCTCAAAACAACATTAGAGCTTTGGTTGTCACAGCAAGGATTATGCCCAAATGCCCTCCTCGTCATCCTGTTGTTGGCAGTGTTGCAGGCCCAACAGGACCGATAAGCATGAAGAGAAGAAAGTAAACAGAAACTGGAGTAAAAAATGTCACTGGCACAGCAGGAAGCTGTGTGGAAGAAAAATAAGCATGCTCAGAATCACAGAAAGTATTAATATGCAAAATTGTGCTTAGCAAAGAAGCTTTGGCAAAGATCTTACTGTCATGGTCTCAGCCTGGAGGCTCCAGGTTTTTGGTTTTTGGACTTTCTTGGTTGGGTTTTCTGTGTTTTGGGTTTCTGTTCTGAGTTTTGAGTGTTTTCTGGTTTGGGTGTTCTGGTTAGTTTTGTCTTCCCTGTCTTGTGCTCTGTTTCCCTGTGCACTTCCTGTTTTGTTTTGATAGTCATGTCACCCCAGTGTCTGAGTTCTAGTTTTGCTTCCTTTTGTTAATCATCCCTGATTGGTCCCACCTGTGTCTGATTCCCCACCTGTTCTCCATTGTTAATCAGTTCTGTTCCTTTTTAAAAGCCCTTGTTCTGTCTTGTCCTTGTGGTATCATTGTTTGTTTGTAGGTTGTGAGGTTAAATGTGTGTTTTGGCGACTCATGTTTGGACTTTGGTTTTTCTTGGAATAAATTCTTTGACACGGCTACCATCTCCGCATTTGGGTCCACCCTTTACCCCTACTCACCTCAAGCGCGTGACAGAATGATACCACAAGGACAAGACAGAACAAGGGCTTTTAAAAAGGAACAGAACTGATTAACAATGTAGAACAGGTGGGGAATCAGACACAGGTGGGACACATCAGGGATGATTAACAAAAGGAAGCAAAACTAGAACTCAGACACTGGGATGACATGACTATCAAAACAAAACAGGAAGTGCACAGGGAAACAAAGCACAAGACAGGGAAGACTAAACTAACCAGAACACCCAAACCAGAAAACACTCAAAACCCAGAACAGAAACCCAAAACACAGAAAACCCAACCAAGAAAGTCCAAAAACCAAAAACCTGGAGCCTCCAGGCTGAGACCATGACACTTACATGGCTATACTTTGAACTGGGTGGCTTTCTATCATCACGTGAGAAAGTGAGTTTTGATTTCTATGGCAGTTTTTTTTACCTTTTTATAATTTGTCTTGAAAAATATAAAAATCAAAGAGCAAACAGTTGACATTTGTTATAGTTCTCAATAAAGTTTGGGACCTCGAAAAGTACTAAAATCAAACCCCTGTTCTTCCGTTTTCATCGTTGCCTTTCTCTCTATACCACTGGCAACACTGTGCTGTCGTAAAATGGCTGATCTGACATGTTAATGGTGTTGAAGTTACTGCTGAATTTGGTGGGACTTTTAACAATTGTAAAGGGAATAACATGGCGAGACATCTGACCTGGTCCGGGGAGGGGCGGTGACCAGCATGTGGGGGTCCTCGGGCTGGCCCTCCACGGTGATGGGGCGACGGGTGACGTGGATGCTGGGTGTGGTGTGGATGCTGCGGGTGCTGAGGATGCTGGGGATGCTGGGGGTGCTGGGGGTGCTGGGGATGCGGGTGCTGGGGGTGTGGTCCTTGTTGGGGAGGACCGTGCGGGTGTTGAGGGTGAGGGTGCTGCGGAGGGGGATGTCCGTGTGGGTGCTGAGGCATGTGCTGTGGGTGCTGTTGGTGAGGGTGTTGGGGTTGCGGGGGACGTGGGTGCTGTTGGTGTTGGGGAGGTTGTTGGGGATGCTGAGGATGCTGCTGGGGGTGCTGTGGATGAGGAGGGTGAGGGTACTGTGGTTGTGGCTGCTGAGCGTGCGGGTGCTGTTGAGGGGCCTGCGGGTGCTGTGGATGCTGTGGATGCTGTGGATGCTGAGGATGCTGAGGATGTTGCGGATGTGCGGTGTGTGGATATGGAGTCTGCTGGGCGTGGGGAGGGTGGGGGTACTGGGGCTGGGGCTGAGGCTGAGCATGTGGGGGTTGAGGCTGGGGGTGGTGAGGACCATGTGGATGATATTGCTCATCTTCATAGTTGTCGGCTATTAGCTTCATTCTGCTTTGTGTCTGTAGGAAGAGGAAAGTGGTTAGTGCATGATTATCTGCAGCTGTTAAACAGAACATTGTGCCATCATAATATGCATAAAGAGACCAGATGATCAGTGCCAGAACTTGATTTGTCTTAGAGGCATACTTTTAAATCTCAAGTTTTGACCAGGTGAACATACCTTGAATATTACATTAATGGGCCAACACATTGAATAGATTTGCCCTCAGCTGTGTCACACACTTTTATTGGAAAATATTTAAATTTCATGTTAATGGCCAGAAAAGTTAATGCCATTCCCGTGCACTTGGCAAATTTGTAACTTGATTTGGGTTTGACTGGATGTGACTTAATTGCCCCCCAAAAAACATAACAGCTCTGACTCATGCGGCAAAATTATGAAATGCTATATTTGGGAAAAGTGCCAAAACTGAAAGTACCAAAAAGGCTCAGTGGCCATGTGTATGTACAACTCCCCTGTAGATGAAATGGAAAAAATGGCTAGTTGCCTTGTGCTATATTTTTCATACTGATTAATGTTGCCTTGGCAACAAGTTAAAGTGCAAAGAGATTTCCTTGACATTGTGCTGCAGTACTTACGTGTTGTTTGAGCTGGTGCATCAGTTTGTCCCGCTCCCTCTTGAGGGCCAGCACCTCCTCCTGGGTCTTCTTTTTATTAGAGGCAGACAGTTCCAGCAGTGCAATATTAGCATCTTTCTCACTGATGGCTGCCAGCAGAGCCTGTTGTCTGAAGAGCAAAAACAAGATTAGGGCATCAGCACTTATATTCTATCAAACAGAGAGAAAAAAGATTAAATAAATGCTATATTGTTAAGCCATTTTTGAAGCTCTATTAACTAAAGAACTGTAAGTCAAACCGCATCAGTTCACCTGTTCAAGTGCCAGAGAAGCTACTTCTGGCCAGCCTCCAGCTTTAAAGGAGCCAGATGATGATTGATGCCACAAGACACTCAAAACTCTAATTGCTTTGTTCTCCTCTCAAGGATGACATTAAATTAGCCTCGCAACTCAGATGACATTTCTCATGCTCCCTCCTCACTCTGAGATTTTAAAGGATTAGTCTGACATTTTCGGAATGCGCTTATTTGCTTTTGTGCTGAGAGTAAGATGTGAAGATTGATCCCACTCTCACGTCTGTCTGTTAAATACAAAGCTACAGTCAGTTGCCACTTAAAAATGGTGTGTAAAAATGACAAGTTGAGGTTTTATTTCTGTAAAAATGTCCTCTGAGAATCAATAAGCCTGATCACACAAAAAAGGACCAGCAAACTATAGGGGTGTAAACGCTGACACGACTTTAAGCTGAGCTAGGTCTTTTGGTATAAAATGAAGCATGAACTGCATGCCCTATTTCTAACCTCGATATTTTTCATGGTCAATAATTAAGGGAGAAATTGAACTATGTTTCCAGACAAAAATAGAATTATCGCCTCTGTCAACCAGCCAAGTTGCAGCAGATATGGTCACAATCTCTGAGTTAAAGCGCTGAATAATGGCCAGAAGTGATTTTGCAGAACATTATGATGTAACTATTACTATTACTACTGTCATTATGATGTTTGAAGTTGACTTTTCAACATTTGGATACAAAATGTCATCACTTCAACATTTTATCCTGTTAGATATTTGAGTTAAACTGTGTCATAATTAGTGTATGAATTTGTGAGTTATGGCAAAAAATGAGTTTTGGTAGGTCATAATGACCTTTGACCTTTTACCACCAAATTCTAATCAGTTCATCCTTGAGTCCAAATGAATGTTTGTGCCAAATTTGAAGAAAATTCCCTCAAGGCGTTACTGAGATGTTGTGTTCACGGGAATGGGAGGGACAGATGGACGCAGAACCCAAAACGCCTCCGGGCCTGGCTGTCTCCAGCGTGGAGACATAAAAATCCCTTCATGGATTTGCCTCAAACACATTTAGAGAAGTGTCTTTGCAAGGTCAACGTTAAAGGTGACGATGACACTAACTTCATCTCCAGGATCTCCTCCAGCTGTTTCCTGCGCTCTTGTCTCATGTTGGTGAGGTGGGTGTCCCTCTCCTGCAGAGACTGCTGTGTGGAGGAGAGACGCTGCTTGGTGGCATCCAGCTCCTGCCTTGTCCTTTCCAGTGTGTTCATCAGCTCCTCCAGCTGATAGACAACAAACATTATGTAGGAACACACAAAAGACACATTGAAGACCCACATTTTATTACCCAGAGCTACACCATGTATCATAAGTGTTAAATGTTTTTCATGAGTAAAATCTGCACCTTTAAGTGGTGGCCACTATCCATGGAGGTGTCCTTACGAGGGTCCTGTCCTAAGCCTTTCTTGTCCCCTTGTGGTCCCAGTTTGATGTTTGAACCCTTCTTAGTCTGGTCTTTGCCTCCTTGTCTGTAAAACCACAAAACTTCAAGATCATTTTTTTGCAAATAATCTTTTCATATCCCATTCTGTAGTTAAAGTGTACCCATATACTACAACAAAAAACATCAAACACAAACAAGTACAACAAGTGTAGTAGACATTCATGTCAGGTGCATTTTGAATGAGACTTATTTCAAAATAGTACCAGTCATGAGATCACCACGACAGCAACAAGACATGAGCCTCACAAATGAATTGTTAGCTTCATGTTAACATGACAGTGCTGAGATGACTCACAGGTTTAAGCACCAGAGTTAGCATGGGGTAGGTAGAGATGGGGGCACGATGGGGGCAGGGGCATTGCTTACCTTGGAGCTAGACTGCAGATGGGGAAAGGAAAAGGTAGAAGAGAAAGGGGCGATGGGACAAGTGGACATTGAAAGCAGGAGACGAGAGCACACACAGGAAAAAGTAAAGAAAGAGACATTAGAACCAGAACATAAAGAAACAACCACAAGAAAATACAGAGGACCCAGAGGAGATCACAGTGTGTTCACTGACTACAAAGGAGCCTGTGACAGCTGCTGCTCTGCAGCCTGACACAGCTAATGCAGGATGCACCTTCTCTGAGAACATAGAACTATGTGCATCTGCTGCCAAGCCTGGGAGTGGCAGACATGCAGTCAGTCAGGCAAAAATCAGCCGGGCAAAGAAAGAGGTGAGGAGCACAGGTTTAAGTGCCGAGCAAAAGGAGGGGAAGCCAACAGTGGTTTGACCAAGTGGGCGAGAAGTAGTGAGCTAGCGAGAGAATCAGTTATGGATGCAGGGTGGTTCAGACAGAAGAGACCCGACTGAACCGACACAGTTCAGGAACAAGGGTTCAGTCAAGATCCTACCTACTACAGCACCTCACTCACTGAGCGCGTGTAGACCTGGAGCACAGCAGCTCTATTCATGCAGGCCACTAGGCTGATCATTTCCCTTAGTGTCTGGTAGAGCAAGCTAGGCAGGGCGGGGTGGGGGCAGGTTGGGCAGGGAGAGCAGGAAGGTGGGCGTCGGGAAAGACCACTTGAGAAGAGAGGGGCTGTCAGGTTCTGTTACTGGGATGATTTGAAGGTGCGAGGGTGACTGAGAGTTACAAATGAGGAGGGTACAGATGGGTGGCTGGAATGAGCAGGGGAAGCGTGCTCATGGCAGGAGGAGGCCTCAGCTCTAAGTACAAAAAACTTCTTACATACAGTAAGCTACAACACACAGCCACACCAAACACCACAAAAAGACACAAACGGGTGTATGTGTGTGTGTCTGCATGTGTATTAGTGTGCAAGATATTTCAGCAAAGGACATAAGGAGGTGTAGCATGTATAGTATAGCAAACTAAAAAGTACAAAAGAAGCAAGAGCAGTTGGGAAAATCACACCAAGTTCACCACACTTACACAAACCTCTAATAATACATAGCACAGTGCAGCATTTACAGTATTACTTAGTATCAATTATCTATATACAGGTGCAAATTTTTAAAGGGGCTTTCAATTACAAATGTGATTTTTTTTTACTGTGTAAATTGTGAAATTTGGTTCCAGGGTGGCTGAATCCTTGGTGTGATCATTTTAACCATTTGACTTCATCATGCATCATTACAGAAACAGGCCACAGCAGGAACAACAGTGTGAAGTAACGCTTACTGTTCAGGGACTCAAATGACTATGACAGAATATATGCCTAGACATATATTTCAAACTTTATGACCAGATGTTTAGCACTTATTCATTAGCTGATGTACAAACCTTAATCTTTAAGGTTTGTACATCATATTGAATCTTAATATTGAGACACATACAGTACAATTAATCTTACTCTATATGGTGATTTAATTTGTAATGTGATTTATCATACAGAACAAAATTTTTGTGTGACTTTAAATCCCCATTCTGTCATCAGGGCTGGTTGTCACATGCAGTTGAATAAATACACATGCAGTAAAAATTCTCTCTCTCTCTCTCACACACACACACACACACACACACACACACACACACACACACACACACACACCCACACACACACACACACACACACACACACACACACACAGATTGATCAAAAACCATTCATGACACATAGGCATAGAGCTACCATTAAGCAAACACATGCTGAAGAAATAAAAGCAAAACATGAATCCAGGGATCTTTGTATCATGTGCTCAGATACAGTAATGACACCATGTGCTAAAAACAGAGCTTGTCACTCTGATACAAAGATCTGTGAATCCTTCAGACAGCAGGCAGACCCAGGCACACAGGTGAAACCAGTTGCAGTTGCAGCAGTCGGAGACTTTAACCACGCAGCCGAGCTGAAGTGCCAGGGCAGAGCACTCACTTTCCCAGGAAATCCCACACCATGCCCCCTATCTGCTGGGGAGCAGCGGACACAGAAGGGAGCGGGTCAGGGGGAGCTCTGCCACCGGGGCGAGGGGTGGGGCGAGGGGCAGAGGGAGGGGGGCTGGTGTCGGGGTGGGGTGGGGGGGCACAACAGAGAAAGAGTTGCAGGGAAGATGGAGAAGAGATTGAAAAAAATGGATTTGAGGAAGGAAAAAGGAATAAAAGGAGGTCCAAGACCAAGGTTGAAAGTGATCAATGGCAGAGGATAAAAAAAAAGGGACAGGTGGGCATGAAACGGAAAATAGAAAAGGGGAACAGGACAGAAAAAAGTGGGTAAAGATGGTAAAAAAAAGAACAAGAACACTCAATTAATCAAACACCTCTAACAAATTAGCATGACACTGAAACGAAGTGGCCCTCCTCACTGGCTGAGAAGAAAAAATATAACTGGTTTTAACAGTAGGTGGTGGGACTTGGACTCTATAAGTGGCAGGGGAGGGGGGGGCTGTCATTGGCAGACAGTGCTCATGTGCGGTTCCCATGCAGTCCAACCGATCTTTGTGTCCGTCTCATCAGTTTGAAATCCATTCCAAGCGAATGACAAAAATGACGCTCTCCTCCAGAAAGACATCAGCCGAACCAAAGACAAAAGCTGCTTCCAGTGTGGACACTCTGGACCACGTACCACACTGAGAGGTGAGCCAAGAGCTGATGGGGCCACCAGCTTTATTAATGTTGTCCATTAAATGAAATCTCTTCCACTAAGGGGATGACTGAAGGGCACTTTGTGCTCATATCTAACATAGTGTCATAACCGCAAGCAGTCTGCCTGATGTATCTCAAGGCATTTCTGAGTGAATTATACACGACCATGACTGGACCCGGTACAGTGCAGTGTGCGGACAGACCATTATGACGTCACACTTGTACATAAAAACACAGAAATGACATGTACACAGATACAAAAGCACACGCAACTTCACTTAAAATATGAAGCACACAGTACAGGGCACTTTACAATTCACAAAGCAAACCAAGTGACATTTGAACTCGGACAGCTGAAACTCCAGAGGAAGAAAGTGAATATACCTGACACATTGTTTAGAATAATATTCTGAATATTTTGTCTTTTGAGTTGAATTTTTCTCACACTAATATCTTAAAACCCTAGCAGATAAAACCAAAACTATCTGCATGACAACAGTAGAGGTAAGTGAGAAAATATGGATTTTGGTCATTTTGGTGAAGCAACCCTTAACAGTTTTTGATGACATCTCACTCTTCTTCATATTCAGTTTGAATCCACTCATATAAGATGGAAGCGAATAGTTTCCAAATATTTCTATGTCTCTATATCACTATTAACACAATAAATGGGATAAAAGAAGTAATTACATCAGTACAGGCTGAGCTAAAAATAATGTCTTGTCTAATGCTAACTTCTCTAGAAAGTCAGAGTTAGTTACCTTTCCAACTCGGCAATCTTCTTGTCCTTGTCATTCTTTTCAGTCTCCACCTCTCGCAGGATGTCCAGGAGTCTCTCCACCTCTGTCTGAGCCTTGCTGGCCTCGTCCTTGTAGTAGCTCACCTCCTTCTCCAGCAGCTTCACTCTGTCCACGTAGTCTGGGTTCCCTCTGGAGCTCGACTGCTGCTCCACCTCGTGGGCTTTCTGCATCCACACACCAGGGGAAGACGCATACAGACATGCACACATGCACACACGCAAAGACACAATCGGTTGATATTATGATGCCGACACAACCATGCAGTGCAGCACAGAATGTTTTACTGCCCATGGAAGAGAGATACATACAGCACACTGCAGTCCATCAGTGTCTTATATTAACTACTCTCCTTGCTCTCTCCCTCTCCTTCTGAATGAGTAAAGCAGAGTAAAATGTTGTGGACGAAGGCATCATTACTTGTGCTGGTTCATTAGCTTTAACAGAGCTATTATTTAGCTCCATTTAACAGCCCTTTGAGACTCCCAGTCACTTTGCAGACTTGGTGAGTCTGCAAAGTACAGGACTGTGTATGTGTGTACAGGACTGCATTTTTTTGAGCAAAAAATAGTAACAAATCAGTGGCAGTAAAATGCTAAATCATGAGTCTGTCTCATTAGTTATCTGTCACAAACTAATCAGCACTACTGTATACTCAATATGGACTAATCTCACCATCATTGCAACAGTTTGTAACTCTCCATGAATTACATTACACTGGTACACATCACCCTCGAGACAATATGCAGCCACACATGTCAACACAGGTCGCAAAAGTGCAAGAGTTATACAGAGCCATCCACCAAAACACTGCCATGTTCTCCAACCACGGCTGATACCTCAGCTAACCGCACCACCACACTGAGACGAGAGAGAAGCGTGGCAACACTGACAGTGACGACATGCAACAAGGTCGACCAGATCATGCAAACCCAACGAAGCTGCACAGTCTTTGCAATTGTCAGTCAAAAGGATGGAGAAATAGACGCAACAGAGACCAAGTCAATCTGCTAATAGTAAGTTTCATATTTTAAGCATGAGGAGCTAATTTAGGATTTGCCTTGATGGAGATTATTCTCACTGATTTGATTTTAAAATGTACATAAATCCACTTTAGAACCACTAATCATTGCAAATAAATTGCTATTCAATAAGTATATTAAAAATACTTCCAAGAGAACTTTATTGCCCATCCAAATTAGTCTCCATACTGCCAGTAGAAGGTTGTATGAACTCCACTTTATGATGGCTTTTGTTTACCTGATGGCTTTCAATATTTTGTTTATCTGCTGATTTTGTGATTTATTATAATTTGTTCATTTACGTATCACAAATAATCAATTACTTCAGGATGATTAAAGCTCAACCTGTTTGCACCTGCAATTTTACTAAGCTCCACAAAAATATGTTTCAGTGATGCGAGTGCGAAAATATCAAATGTGAGTATCAGCTTTAAAATAATAGCTGTTAATGCTAACGTTGGCTATGTAGCAATAGCAAAATTTAAGAATAGCTCCTTTAAAGCTAGACTTGGACATGTAGAGGTATCCTAAAATAAAACAGAATGTGACTCTGTAAAAGACTCTAAAATCGAAATCATTTTTCTGTCATCGAATTCAACATCCACAAGGCCAATTTTGCTTTTCTTTGCAAGGGTGTAGGTGTCAAAACATATGCGAAAACTGGAAGTTAACTCGAGGCCACGTCCTTTCACAACTTTCACCACAAGTACTTCCATTAAAAAGCCCAGGTGTGCTGTTCTTTGTGTCAATATAAGCTCTGGGATTTCCTAATGTCACTCATTTGCCCTGATGATCTAGGTCCAGTGAAAGCTTAGCTGCATCTTTAAATTGTTGCATTGGACCTCAGCGTGCATAGAGCCTTCTTTTCTCTGATGTGGAAGAAAAAGAAAAATCCCACTGTTGTTAAACAAACTAATCACAAATAAACCAACTACAGAGCCACAATTTAAAAAGTTGCATATAAATAGATATACTGTGTTGCATATTCGGCATATTTGAAATTCCAACTAACCAAATAAAGTGAACTTTAAATATTGTATATGTAGCACCAGTTTCACCACGTGTCACAAACACAAACAGCTGCAGAATGAGTACGTTGCACAGGACTCTGAGTGCAATATAAAGCTCATTATATCAGTACAGTGCAATGGTCAACATGCATCTGGACGGGGCAGTGGGTGAAAGCAGAGCCTGTGCTGGGGTCTGGCATGATCACCATCTAGCATATTTCAGAGAAGTTATCAGTGTCCTCATGCTTTCAATATGTGCCTCAGAGAGCTGAAGAGAGGGACTTACAGGATTGTTCATGTGACTGAATAGCTGCTCAGCTTGCTATATTGCAAACGGAGGGGTTGAGGGAAGGAGTGGAAGGAGGAAGGGGGGGCCGGGAGAGTAAGTGTTAGGACTTTGTTTGAGCCAAAGGAGAGAACAGCAGGATCAGACATGTTACAATACATGTTTGACAGGTCAGTAACATCAGTAACAGCACATGTTGTTACAGGTTAAGGGCAACACAAACGGACAAATGCAGAGGAACAGACACAGGGATAGTCTGTGGATTATGGAGTAGGAGGGGGGTAGTTAATGGACTATCTGCTCCCTGCAGCAGCCTAACAAAGCAGTGCGGCCTGTTACAGGGAAGAAAGCATTATCCTAACTAACTGTGTTTTATATTAGGCAGGTCCCTGGTTCATTCCAGATTAGAGTGGTATTAACAGAACTTTTTACATTTTTCACAGTGTTCACTTTGGTATTATTTTCTGTATGTCTGCTGAATATCACAGAGTTTGTTCTGTCGAGGACTTTCTTATTAGTCAAATTCTTCAGTGTATTCCTATGGGAAAATAACACACAATACAAGGTCTGAGTTGCAGGCATTTCTGAGCAAGAAAAACCTCACGTAACCAATATGAAACCAAAGTCATTAGAATAAAAGAAATAGTTCATTCATTCAAGTCTAGAACTGATTAATAGTTTCCATTCAAGTGGTCCCTGGACTCTACGTGAGCTACGTCTTTTCTTCACAGTGGACATGCTCTGGATTTTTTATCTACAGTTCAGAGCAATTAACAGAGAGGAACAACTGTACAGTCTTCATTCAGGACAGAGGAGCTCTCCACAGTTCAGCCACAGCTGAAGCATTATATATAGGAAACAGTTTATTTGAAAAAATTACAGTGGTGTTAAGTTTTTAACCTTGACCTCTTGAAATGATATGTGGAAATTCCTCATATGTATGTCCTTTTCATTACAATAATAAAATAGCTGTAAATGTGGAACTGAAATTTAATCCTTGACCCTGGAAACAACGCTGTAGCTACTCTAGAAATTTCCTCAGCAGATGAAGTTGCAGCTCTCATCACACATATTTAGAGGTAGATTTTAGATGCAGAATGTGTGATATAGTCAAAAGTCCCAGAAACAGCTACTACATAAACCTTATAGTGAGTAAATTCAATCTGTTTTTGTGAGAGGCTATTGTGACATCATTTTAGCTTTGAATGAACATAGTTTCTTTTGTTTTGTTTGCTTGTTTTTTCACCCTGAAATAGTGAGTGATATTATTAGTGATAATAGTGATTAGTGAGTTTGGATGCTTCCCAAATAAAATGCAATGAAACACTTAATGGAAAGAAGAGGCCTTGAGTCCAGGACAACAAAAAGAATCGATAACTGTGAAAAGGAAAAAACGCCTCACCACTTCTTAAGTGGTGTGTACAATAAAGTGTAGATCACACTTTTAAAACATTACTTTAGCTGATTATTATATGTAATCCTGTTCATCATTTATGCTAAAACTGCTTGCTAACTGTACAAATAGTTACTGTACAGCAGGCACTTACATATACTTATAATCTCAATACTAGATAGTCAACAAATTTAGATCAGATGACTATATGAGTGTTTCAGGACTGTAATGCACACACTTACCTTCTGTAACTGGGTCTCCAACTTACTACACTCCTCTTTTTTCTGCTCAATGGCAATCTCCAGTGATTTGAGCTTTGAATCCTTCTTGAGGCCAGAAGATGCAAGCGATGAAGCATGTTCCTTCAGATCGATGAGACTGGACTGCAGATGGACAAACAGCACAGACAAGCAGAACAGGTTCAAACCAGGCAGCCAGCACAGTGTCAGCAGGTGTTACAAGACCACAGTGCCAGAGGTGGCAGCTTAAATGTCATATAGAGGCGTACTGAAAGACAAAAGTACGATACAGACTGTACAGTATGTACAAAGAGCTGCAGTGCACATTTCATAGTACAGCACTGATCCATTGCACCGTGATTTCCAAAGTACAAGATGTCTTATCCCTCTTAACGCTTCATCTGCCAGGAGCTTTGCTTTGTATCGGCCTACTACTGACAACTACAGCCTCAACAAGACCCTCAAATCTGGTTTTCTGAACATCAGACTGCTGTCTACTAAAGCATTATTGATAAACACCTTGATTCTTCAGCATTACTGGATATCATTCCTCTTTGTGAAACATGGCTTAAACAAAATATTATCTTACCTCTTAATGTAGCTTCCCCACCTGATTAATCTATAATTATTTATATAGCTTAATCTATAATGCCAATTTCACTAACCTCTAATCTTGAATTGACCTTTTGAGGCTCTTTTGAGGCTCTTGTATTGAAACCATCTCCACCAGTTATGAATCACCCCCTCTGTGATGAAAGACTACAACCGTTCCCTCTTGTGATACAGACCTCCTGCCCCTAATTCAAAATTTTTAGAACAAGAATTTATCACAAGTCTTGTTACATAAACTGTCGACATTCTCATTATTGGTGACCTGAATAAGGCCTGTATCCTCTAAATCAGCCTGTCTAGCAATTATTGACACTTTTAGTTTCTTCCAGTTTGTGGGTGAATCTACTCACTGCACCGGTAATATAGAGGTATATAATCTGACTGTCTGTCCCATCACTTCTGTGGTCTCTGATCACTTTCTTATCACATTTGAATCAGTTCAAATGTATTTACCACAAAACACATTGGTCCAGCAACTTTAGCTGCTCCTGATGAGCAATTACCAGTGGCCCTGACTCCTTTTAGTGTAGCAATTTGAAAATTGTACCAGTGACCAAATGCAGTTCTATCTAGTCTCTTGGACTCGGTTGCTCCTCTCACCACTTATATTAGATGGTCAAAGAGGTCTACACCTTGGTTTACTGAGAAAATGTGCTTGAATCAGGCGTGAAGGAGATTGGAGTGAAAATGGTGCAAATCAAAATCTGAAGCTCCCCACCTCCACTGACACAAATGTGTATAGAAATACAAACATTCTCTCTCCACTGTAGAGCAGCCTATTTCTTTAAGTTAATTATTAACAAAAAACACAATCCTAGATTTCTTTTTGACACTGTAGCCAAATTTACTCAAAAGCAGCCATCTCTTAGTTGCTCGCCCTTCGAAGCTCATGATTTTTTACAATTTTTCTGCAATAAATTAGATTAGATATAAAATCACCTCTTCTTCTCCAGCATCCTCTAGAGAGTCCCAGATGGTTTCTGCTTCAAAGAAATTTGAGATTATATTTCTTGAATCATTGTCTAAATTGGTGGTTGCTTCTCAACCCACCACCTGCCTTCTTGACCCTCTGCCAGCTAAATTCTCCAAAGATCTCTGGACGGTTTTAGGACATTTAGTGCTGAACATTGTTAAGTGATCCCCACTGTCCCCATTAGTTTTAAAACTGCTGTGGTTAAACTTTATTTAAGAAACGACATCTGCAGGATCTTCAACTATTGGCCAAGGTCAAACCTTCCCTTCTTTTCAAAAGTACTGTCTCAGCAGCTTTCAGCTCACTTGTCCAACAATAATCTTTTCGAACCTTTTCAGTCTGCCTTCAGGGCCTGTCACTCCACTGAAACAGCACTCACTAAAGTAGATGATCCTCAAATTTCTATGTATTCTGATTCCACCACATTCCAAGACTGCATGTCTCCTATAACAATACTATACTAACATTTTCTGATGTAAAATATGGAGTACCTCAGGGCTCTGTTCTTGGCCCTCTTTTCTCTCTTTATATTTCACCTCTGGGCTAAATTATTCACTGTCATGGAATGAATTTCCACCAGTATGCTGATGATACTCAGCTGTATGTGCTTATGAGGGATAACGACTCTTCTCAAATTGCAAAGTTACAGATATGTTTGTCTGCTGTGAAAAGATGGATGTCTCAAAATTTTCTGCTCCTAAATTCAGATAAAACTGAGATGCCAGTCATTGGCCCAGCTCAACCAGTTTGTTCAAGTAAGAGTAACTCTCAACAACTGTGATTTCCCATAGTCTCAAAGCCAAGAATCTTCAGTCAAGAATCTCTCCTTCAATCAGCACATTAAAGACATCACCAAGACTGCCTTTTTTCACCTACATAGCTAAAATTTGGTCTTTTCTGTCCATGACAGAAGCTGTTTCATTGAGACTTGATTATTGTAACATATTGTTTTCTGGCCTGCCACATGCTAGTATTAAAAGTCTTCAATTGCTTCAGAATGCTGCAACCTGAATTTTAACTAAATCCAGAAATTTTGACCATATTACACAAATTTTAGCTTCCCTTCATTGGCTCCCTATCCATGTCAGATCAGACTTTAAGGTGAATGAATGACATACTCCTTGCTCCTTTATACCTGTCTGATCTCTTTAAACCTTATATTCTATCTGGTGCTCTCTGTTGCCAGAATTTAAAGCTCCTGTTGGTCCCCAGAGTTAAAAAGACGCCTGTTGGCAGCAGAGCATTTTCCTATCGGGCCAACTTGGTTGAAGCCTTCAAATCCAAACTTAAATCTCAGTTTAACGCCTTAACTTTCAGTTAGCTCCTTATTCTTTCACAACTTCAGGCTTTGTACCTGTTACCTCTCTACCACCAGTGGGTCGGCCTCAGTCTCAATTAATGAAGTAAACCCAGTACATACAGTTCAGTCCATGTTGTCCATGTCCATGACGAGAATACTGTAAACTTTCTGACAATCACTGCATCATTCTACCTGTTTGCTTATTTCCTCAGGCACGAGCGCCCAGGCTGTGTACCCCTCTCTCTTTCTTCTCCCTTTCTCTCTCTCACTATCTCTCTCTCTCAACCCAATCAGTCAAGGCAGATGGCCGCCCCCCATCAGCCTGATTCTGCTCGAGGTTTCTGCCTCTTACAAGGAAGTTTTTCCCTGCCACTGTCGCCAAGTGCTTGTGCATGGTGGGAATTGTTTGGTCGCTGTAATAAATATCATAAAGAGTCCGATCTAGACCTGCTCTATTTGTGAACACACCCCTCTACCCAAACAAAAAAGGAAATCTTTTCACTCCACCCACTGACCTCTTTCTCTGTTAATTCTATCTGCAGGCTGTTGACCTTCTCCTTCAGGTCCTTGTTCTCCTTCTTATAGGACTCTACTTCTTCCAGACGTTCTCTGTCTTCTCTCTCCCTTTGGTCCTTTAAACGCTCTATAATCCTCTCCTAACAGACACAGACAAAGACAGACACACACACACACACACACACACACACAGAAAAAGAGTTAGAGGTATTTTTGTGTAACTTACGTCTGTTTAATGTTGTGTTTGTTTTTCTTGTTTTTGATTGCTGTTTTTATTTCTCCATTTTCTTTCTGTTAAGCACTTTATAACTTTGTAGTAGCCAATCAGAGACAGGGATTTACCTGCATCTGCATTTGATTTTACTTTTTTGTTTTTAAATCAATTTAATTTTGTGAAATCCTCGATATCTCCAGAAGACATTAACATATGGTATTAACAACAACCTGATATGTAGGATATGATAATAGTCTATGAAAATGATGAAAATGAAAATTAAAATAAATCAGTTTAGATTCAACAAAAATGCAAAATCTAGGGAGACCATTTAGTGATTTTACATTGGTGTTATGATGTTATGGAAACCAAATGAAAACCAAACTGGAGCAGGGAATAAATCACATCACATGCAAATAGTAGGTAAAAAATCCCAATCCTGAATTCTACATTTTGCTTTAGCTAAGCTTCAGTGTTTATTTATCCTGACCAAAGATTTCTTTTACTCTTAACCAGTTATTGCTAGAATTATGCTTCTCCAGGCTGCATGTAGGCAATCGTGCGCAGGACCTCTTGAGCTCTATTGGATTTAAGAACATTTTTAAGATGTAAGAAATTTGATTTCTTAGTCTGCGGGAAGGAGTAAAAGTGATTCAAAAATGTCAAACTTTCACTACAGGCCCTGACATCAAACCTCAAACTTCATTCAGAGGAACCAAAACCTGCAAGGAAGTGGGGAAAAATGATTTAGTTTTGCAGCAGCTGATCAAGTCACAACCACAGCTGAGTTGCATTTTTGAATCTTCAGTTTGCTGAAGTCCTGTACCTTCTCTGACAGCGCCTCCTCCAGGGTGGCCAGGGCAGTGTCTGTGTTACTGGAATCTGTCTGCAGAGACTTGACCCTGTCCTTCAGGTTCCCCAGCTGCTTGTCTTTGTCACGCAGCTGCTCCTGCAGATTCTCAATCTGACCCAGGGAGGAGGAGACCAGCAGGACGGTGGTGCCACAGGGAGGAAAGAAAGCAGAGAAACAGAGTTAACTAGCATGATCTCAAAACCAGAGCAGTATTTAAAATTTGTGTAACAGCTGGAGATTGTAAAAGCCTTTGAAGATTAACACCCTCTACAGACAACGTCATGTTCATAAATTGAAATGTGCTGGGGCTTTAAACAGAAGCATTTTTCATTTCAGGAAGAAATGCATCAAAAACTGACAGACTTTTAAGAAGAATTTTGAGAAGTACTGTATAATATAAATGTAGCTAATCGTCATTGTGTATTACAACTACTGTAAAAACTATTTCAAGACATTGAAATATCTAATTTACTACATTATATGAGTGACATAAACAAAACCAAGTAGGTAAAAAGCAAAAATTTAGAACTCAAGAGAGGTCAAAAAGAGGGAGATAAAAGTGGACGAATGAGGGAGACGAGGTGCAATAGAACACGAAGGGAGGAAAAAAGCAAAGTGAATGGGTGAGCAAGTCAGGGTGAGAGAGGGAGTAACACTCTGTGAGTATTTATAGCACATACACACACACACTAGAGGCAGTGAGGCAGAAATATCTTCTTGCTTGTCTTTCTGTGGACACTTCCCCCCTGAGAGCCACAGAGACTCTCTCACTCTTAATGGAGAGAGTAACCACTCTGCTTTGTACTCTCACTGAGTGACTGGTTTAGCCCAGGACACGAGCATCTGACAGAATAACTTGCTCCCTTCCTCAGTTATTTCGAATGTCAGACTACATCTGGAGTACACCTGCAGTACATACACCTCCACCTACTCACCAGAGTCTGGTTTAACCAATAAATAATATAACAAAAACTCAGAGGTGAGGTTTTCTTCATCTCTGATTCTCACCTTCTTCTGCAGGACATTGATCTTCCTTTCTTTGACCTCTAGCATGTCCTTCATGTCCCTGATTTCTCCAGCGAGCGTACCCTTCTCCTCCGTCAGGTCCTGTAGCTGCTTGGTTTTCTTGTTCAGGAAGGACTCTTTCTCCTCCAGACGCAGACGTAGAGCATCAACCTGAAGCCCGACACAGACAAAAACACTCTAGAGGAAGTCCATACATTGAGCCTACTTAAAAATAAAAAGAGCTTCCCATAATGTGGATTTGACTGTAAATGAGCAAAAATGCTTCACAGAGTTATTAAACACAACAAATTTGCAAAACCTATAATTTGCTATGAAATTTTGAAATTGCTATTTCAAAATTGGCTCATTTTAAAAGATCTGCAACAGTGTTCATTAGAGGTGCTTTGAAGTATTTATTCATCTTCACTTAATCTCCATGAAGTTGCAGGAAAAAACCAGCCAGTATCTGAGCCAGTATTCATTAGTGTGGTGTTCTACAGTGAGTGCATTACAGTAACTGTAATGCTGCTACAATTATTAATTTGTTGGTGCAGCTTTTTGATGTTTTTGATGTTTATTAGATGTGCTGTGACAGTACACTCCACATTACAGTTCCTTTGGTGGCGCCTTGAGTTACAGTTCAGTTAGTTTGAAGTCCCCAAAGTAAATAAAGTGCTGATATGATTTGCAGTAATAAGCCCCAGGCCAAAGGCAAGCCTATTATTTGCTCAGTTTGGCTAGGAGGATGAAAATGTTGGTGAGGCAGTGGACAGTTAGGTTGATTTACTGTATGTGTGCGAGTTAAGGGATTTTCATTACCTCTGTTTGCAGGATGGCAGCACGTTGCTCCTTGGCAGTGAGAGACTCTTTGAGCACCTCAATATGCTGTTTGCAGTCTGAGTTCTGGTTGTTGAGGGTCTCTAGTTTTGTCTGCAGAGCCAACAGCTCTGACTCCTTCTTTGACAGCTCCTGCTTCAACTGGTCAATCTGCACGACACGTGACACAGACAGAACGCCCAACCCGTTACATTAGCAATGTATTGTTTTACCACCGTGGCGCGCGTGTGTGACAGAGAGAAAGCGAGAGAAAACACGACACATCGACACGCATCTCTCTCATTAAAAATGCATTTGGGACTGACTCCCCTGCATTCATCATATATTATACATCATCTCTATTCATGATTGATGAAAAGAGGGCTAAAAATAGAATAACAAAACTGTGGCTGGTCCGCGCCTGGTCGGCTGATATGAGGAGCAGTATGTAAACACAGAGTCAAAGCTTGGGAGAGACACATGAGCTCCAGAGAGCAGCGGACACAGACCCCTTGACACAATCACTGATTTCAGTATGCTGAAGGCTTGACAGCGTAGCAACCAAAAACACAAGTTATCGTGTCGTCATGGTGCGTGGGCTGATAGAAACACTGACAGGTCTGAAAACGAAAGCAGGTGAAGTCGATTTAATGAAAACGAATCCATCACTCTGACTTTGTGGGCAGGCGAGCACTTCACTCTTTGAACATAATGTATGTCACAACTGTCTGTTGGCAGCAGAATAATAAAGTAATAAGCTTTCAGATGTAATTAAGCAGGGAAAGTTACGTATTTTATTACAAGCCACAGCATGTTCTTGCTGATCTCGCCTGTTTTAGTATTCTTGATACTGACCTCTTCTCAAAAAACAGCAGAGAAGCATCTCAGATTTGTTGCCAGCAGGACACTTTGCTGATGATACTAAACGCAAAAGCAGCTAATTTAAGTCACACATCAGCTTCATTTAGTATTCTCCTCTCTGCACAGATCTTTCTGTACCCTGAACCACTCCTTCGTGTTTTTCAGCCATATTTTCACAGGATCTGTACTTCACCATGTGCATGCAAAGTGTAGATGGTGTCTACCTTGGTCTTCATAAACTTTGAGTGGTTCTTGTAGACCTCCATCTGTTTGATCTCCTCCTCTCTGTCCTCTGTGTTCAGTAAGCCGTTTGCCTTCAGCATTTGGATCTCATCCTCCAGATCTCGGATGTTGCGCTCCAGAGAGGCAATTTTGGTGTCCTGCACACAAACACGCAGAGGAGACACACCTCAAAACCTTGACTGGCATGTCCACAAGTTGCATGATGCAAGTAAACCTGAACTAGAGTCCAGGACAAACAGAAAGACCAAAAGCAACAAAAAAAAAAAAAGAAAAAGATTTAGAGGGAGTAAAATACAGAGAGAGTATGAAAGAGAGATAAATAGTGAGATAAAGAGAAACTGGAAGAAGCTCTTTGGTGTATCTGAGAGCAACTGCAGCATCTGTCGGTGAAATCACAAGCTTTCTACCCAGCTCCTTGCAGCAGCCCAGAGGATTAATCACCATTGGGAAATACTGAGCACACATCCAGCACAGAGAGATCAGCCAGGACCGGAGAGAAACGAGAGGAGGGAAAGAAAGAAAAGTAACAAGCTGTAGCTTTTGCCGTAGTTGCTTGCAGATCAATGCAGAATCCTGTCTCTGGACTGCGACTGCGAGTGCAGCTTTAGCTTCACGGCTTTTTAAATAAATAATACAACGTCTTTAAGATTAGCCATGGTCCATCTCCTTCTCCAGCAAAGCACAGAGCAACCATGTTCCTTCCTGTCTTTCTCTCTTTTTGTGTCTCTCCTTCTTTCCTCCTAATGGCTCTGAACTTATGAACTTATGGCCGTTAGTAGGGTCAGTTGTAACCCACTGCAGAGGAATATGGGTAAAGTATCATGATGAGGAATGATGGACTATCCGAGAAGGATCTGAGTGGTTAACATCAATGCATGAGCACTGTACATGTACATGCACTTCGCCCTGCCGCTGCTTCTCACCTCAGAGTCCATGTTACGAGACAAACATCAGTGAACTAATATTGCTGCAATAGACACAAGACACCGTACCTTCAAAGGAGGGAGATTTTATTCCATCCACATGTAATCACTGGTACATCGACCTGGACAGTAAATCTTGCTCTTTATTTCTCTTTTCCTGCCTCTGTGTGTCTCTCTTTCTCTCTATCTCCTTGCATACTAGCCTCTCACTGTCATAAACAACCACACCTGTTTCCATGGTAGCAGCAGGCAGGCTATATACTGTGCACTGTCTCTGGTGAGTGAGGAGGAGAGGGCGGGAGGGATGTAGGGAGCGAGAGGGAGGGAGGATTATTCGTGCCTCCATCAGCATCAACACAGCAGAGGGAGAGAGTAGAGGGGAGAGATGCAGGGTCTTCCTGCACAGCACAGCACAGGAGGAGGAGGAGGAGGTGGAGGAGGAGGCGGGTCTTCCCTCGCTCTGTATGCAAATCTACACATGACCACGCCGGGGGAGGCTGGGGCCTGCACAGCGCCGATCCAGCCGAGTGAGAGGGGCTATGTCAGCTCAGCGATGATGTCATGATTTATTTTGAGGAAGTGATGTCAGGCCTCTGCAGTGAGGCTGGGGGTGTCTACAGTGGGTTCAGTAGCTGGATGGCCCTGATTTCTCTCTGCTGCCAGATCCAGCTGCTGTACAACAAGTGCTGATCTGAATAGACATTATTACCCTTGGAAAAGAATATAAGCATATTATAAATATTTGCATACAGTATCATTACAGAATGGAATATTAATGTGCGTGAAATTAAATGTTCTTGAGCTGAAAGCTAAAGGCAATCACAACTGATAACAGTGGTCTGAAAATGCAATCCAAAAGTCCATCTTCTTAAATACTTATTATATAAGTATAATATACTAATTGAATATGAATGTTTGCCCCAATATTTAAATCTCCTTCAAACTTCCTCTGAAGCTTCAAAGTTACATAAAACCATTACATACACATTCTTCCACTTCGTCTTGCCAAGATGCCATTTTAAGACATGCATGATCAGCTTACATCAAATAGAAAATTCTGCTTATCTTGTGTTTGTAATTCAGCCTGACATGTTTTGTGTCTTAAGAAATTTTAAATGATGCTCTGCACATGGTGAACATGCACAAAATGTGGTTGAAGTGTCAGACCCACAGTCTGTGATGTTTGCACACACAGTCTCTAATGTTAAAGAGTAAATTACTATGATTAAATTTGCCACTACTTGTCATGAAACCAATGTGTCGCAGTTCGGCTGCTATACATCTTGGGCGGGCTACGACAGTGCAAATGTTGAACAGTTATATTGATTCTTGTTTATGTTTACACAACTGCTTTGTGAGCTGACACACAGTGTGTCTGCGTGTCTGTGTGTGAGAAAGAGAGATAGAGAGATGGGACAGTGTGCTGACTATTGACTCAGCTGCTGAGGATCACAATGACAACAATAGAGTCAGTAGAACACACCAGTGTAGGCCTAACTATAGACATGTAGCAGTTATTAACACGGTATGGGGACTGTGAATGTCAGTGACTCAAACACATATAAATACGCCATCTGATTTTAGATAAACTCTCCATGATTATTTAGTTTGTTACAGTCACAGAGGAATTACCTTACCTTCACATATATGTATAACATAATAAATGAAAATTACTGCAGCTGGATAATAAACTACATATTGATTATTTGAAGGAAAATTATCTAAAGATGTCTCTTGTAATGGTGCGTGCAGTATTTGGTTGTGGTCGGGCTGTATATGGTGAGTCAGGTTCTTACTTTCATCTCTATGATGGTCTGCAGAGCCTTGGTTTTGCTTGGATCCTGATGCAGCTGATTTCTTCTGTGCAGTTCCTTTCAGAAAAGAGACAACATTATTCGGCACCTGAAGAGCAGAATCTATTGTCAGCTCTACTGAAAGCAGGGCAATTTAACTCAAGACTGAAGAGAAAAAAAAAACACAAACACAAACACAAATAAATGCATAAAAAGTCTTTCTTTACATATAATACAATGGATGTGCTCTGCGGTTTTCCGTTCATACATTACATAATCCATATGCTACAATTTAAGCAGCAGAGTAGAGCATATGGATTGTGTGACACTCTGTACTGCCCTCTAGTGATGACAAAATAAAAAGCAGTCATTTTCAGCTCTTACACAGTGGATCTCATGTATTTATATCAACATAACCTTGGTCATAGGATACCTCTCGCAGATGGATGTTCTCCTTCTCCTTTTGGTCCAGAATGACCTCCAGATGTCCCAGCTGGGCCTCTGCCTCAGCAATGCGCCTGGCTCTCTCCTGCTCCTCCTCCTCAGACGCCCTGCCCGGCCCCGGGGGCAGCCCTTTACTCTGCAGCATCTCCAGCAGCTTCTTAATGGACTCATCTCTGGCACCCAGTGTCTGTTTCTGGGTCTCAATCCTCAGTTCCATCTCCTCCAGCGTCTTTCTTAGCAGGAAGAGCTCCTTGGCCTGCCTGTCATGTTCGGCCTGCAGCCGACGGAAGTTCTCCTCTGTCAGCTCGATGGTGGTGAAGTGCTCGGAAGCGGAGCGGTTACCGCTCTCCTGCTGCAGCAGGTGGTTCAGGTCTCGCTGTGTGCGCAACTCGTCCTGCAGAGCCTGGATCGTCATCTGGAGATGCTGATTGACACATACACAAACACACACACACGTACACACACACGGACTCAACAATTATTGATTTTAGGAATAAACACACAAAGTTTGTCTTGATAACACCACACATGAGGGTAACCACACATTAACACACACTTCTGAAATGCTGTTGCACACGGTTCTGTGGAAAAATGCTACAGTGGGTCAAACATGGGGAATACGTTACTTACCTTGGGATATCTTTAGAAGCATATAAACATTTAACAACTGATACTGTCAGATGACAGTACGGTTTATCTGGGGTAAATATGTGAGAAAAAAATGCTTTTTCTTTTAATCAAATCAATGAATCCATTGGAATTGTAGTAAGAATTTTACTACTCATAGAGAAAATATAATAAGGTTCAGAGTAAATCACAGCTGTCAAGGACTAATTTATTAGTGTGCTGTGAAAGGCTGCTCTGTTTTTATACACATCAGCAGAATTAATGAGGGCTGTAAAGTTAATCAAAGCAGAAGACCACCCCGATGCTTTCCTGCAGCACAGCAGAGGTCTTTGCTCTCTGACACTCAATCTGAGAGGCCTGGATACAAATAATGTACTTCAAGCATCAGATAATAATGAGCTGTTACCATTGGTGGATTCAAAATATGAAATATATATAATTGGACCTTCAGCTTTCACACACTGTAGAGAGGAAACGACCATATGCTGAGTAAAGCTGTGCAGGTCTGGGAATTTGTGTGTGTCCAGAATAAAATAAAATAAAACACACACTATTATGCATTATTTATCTTTTTTGTGTGCAGGGCTGTTGGATCTGGGTTTAGGGGAATAAAGTTTAGGGCCAAAGGTCCAAAGGGACAATTTCTTTCAAAGACTGATTCAGGCTCAGTTTGCCTGTTGAAACTTTCTTCCAGCAGATATCTCCAGAGAAAAACAGATCAATCCAAGAAAATGGCCCAGCCTGGATATAAAGGAGTGGAAACAGTTTCTTACACTGAAGTCAACTTTACAGGCAGTCTGGGGTTATATGGTTTGTGGTACTACAGGGAGATGGAACACCAGACACATTTGGAGTGACATAAATTAAACAAGTTAATCCCCTTCTATAGCTTTACAGTGTTAATGGGGAAACATATGAGGGTTCACGGGACAAGGAGGTAGACTGAACTGCTGCAAATATTTCACTTCTTTTTGGAGGTTACGGGATTCATAGGAGAGGAGGTTGTATGGTGCAAAGGGATTGCCAGGTGTCTGAAAATACACGCCACACTGAAGGTGACTCTATGTTGTGCACACAAAAATGTGGTGCAAACATAGGGACAAACCTTGGTTCTCCTGGCATCCAGCAGCTGCAGAGCATGGGCAGAATGAACAGAAAAAACAAATGTATGGTAAAAAACAGAGCGTCAGAGCATGATGCAACAGAGACGGATGATCAACACAAACCAGCCAGGGTTTCAAATGAGAGCCACTCATCAGTGTCTGTCCAGCTGCATGTTTATCAATCCTCAGCCCTCAGTCAGTACATCCCATTCACAATAGACCTTTTTCACAGCAGACACTCTGGCTTTTCATAGCAGGAAAAGCAAAAGGGATCAATCATTTTAATAATGATCGCTTTCCATTCAGGTGAGCTTGTTGCAGGGTCTTGGTGTTTTTGCATGCTGGCTCACTGGCATGCCTTACTTAGACACTTGATGGAACTGAGCCATTATTAACGACTTTTGTTTCACCGGTGCTTTTCCTCTATGACAAGTCAAAATGTCCGCTGGGAAAAAAGTCGATATAGCTACAGACAAAATATGACTTTATCAAGATGACCTTTCTGGAGAGAGATGAGGAAAAGGTTTGACATGGCTGTAAAATTGCTCCAATCGATCACCATGGTTTTGTAATAACTAACCTTGTATAAGCATTACAATTTAAAATAAAATTAGTAGTGTAATGCTGATCAGATAATGATGAGATTAGGTATTAGTTGTTGTTGTAGTGTTGCAAAATTAATTTATTGTTGAGCTGAAAAGATTAGTCGATGAACTGATTACTAGTTCACCAGAAAATTAAACGACAACTATAACTGAATACTTATTTAAGTAATTTTTCAAGCAGGAATGTCAATATTATCTAGTTCCAGCTTCTCAAATGTGATTATTAGTTGCTTTCCTTTGTCTTATGTGATAGTAAACTGAATATCTTTTGGTTTTGGACTGTTGGTCTGATGTGTGGCTTTGGAAAATTGTGATGGCCTTTTTTCACTATTTTCTGACATTTACAGACCGAACAGTTAATCAATAAAATAACTGGCAGCACAATGTAAATAGTCATCAGTTGCAGCTCTGATCTATTGACGCTATTAACACACCGAGATAAAAAAAAAAAAAAGCAGTGTATTAATCCTGAAAAATAATTAAAGGAAAAGTAAAAAAAAAAGCAAAAAGCAAAATCTGTTTTTCATCCCTCTAACACTCCGCGCCTCACTTCCACAGTGCACAAGCTGTGATACTGTCATGTGAAGCATGTGCTCTTCCAACCAAGAGAGGGCAGTGTTTGTGTTAGCAGAAGGACCTGATGAATTTTCAGCTGACTGCAGGACCGCTGCCATCTTCAACAGTTTTTGTCACACTCCCTTATGTGAGTCAGTGGCATTTGGTCCATCAACAGAAACCACTTAGTACATCTCAAATTCATACTGTATGAGTGTAATTTGCATTCATTAGCATGCACATGCTATCACTTACTCGCATTTCTATAAATACAGACAGACAGGATCTGTACACTGTCCAAACCTTAAAACTAGAATATTTTATTGACATCACAAGGGTTTTCCTCATATGTGTGGAATAATCCTTTCATAAATAATCATTTATAAGCTCCTATGTATATAAAATACTTTAAAATATGTCTTCTCAACCATTATTTAACACATGCGATATTGCTGTGGTCAGTTTAACCAATCAAAATGAGAAATGGCTGGTTTCCTTCATGAGTTATGAGCATGTCGAGAGTAACTCCCTGAAAATATCAGTGCTGCTCCCCTGCTTGTTCCTGACACTGCTCCCTCTCTCTTTCTCATCAGTGCTCTGTCTCTTTGCCCTGATCAATAACCTGCTGTCTTGGAACTAAACTGCAGGAGGCACTCCAGTGATTCCATTTGCATAATTGCACTGTGGGTTAAAGTGTCTATATGGCCAGTCTTCCTGTATCTCCCCCGTCATCCACAGCAAAATTGTACCAGTTCCTGTGAGTCAGTCATGACTCAGCAGATACTGGAGCTGTGGTCACCAAACCTCACAGGAAGGCTTCTCTTCCGCTGCATATCCTGAAAATGAGCTTCCAGGGGTTTCACGAGTCAAGCAGAGACGTTGAGCTACAGTGCTTCCCCCTCTTACTGACACCTGGGGCAGCCAGGAGTAACTGGCTGTCAAAAATCCTTTTGTGCAGAAACACAAAATCCTTCTGAGAGCTACAATAGACAAGGAGCTGGATTCTGCCATCCTCCTCATCTCCTCAAAACCTCACAATGCCAAAAGCTCAGTCTACTTACATGCAAGTTAATTACAAATCCAGCAGCACGCTGCAGGTTTGATTTTTCACAAGATTAAGAGTCTGCAGGCATGGTAGCAGCTGTGTGAGGCTTTACTTTATGTTACGAAGTCGTACTATTATGTTCACCCTCTTAGTTTAGAGTGTTGACATGTTGACATTTGCTCATTAGCAGTAAACACATAGTACAGCTGATACTGATGGGAATTAGTTTTGCAGGTATTTGGTCATAAACCAAAACTGAAATTAAACTTTTGACCTAAAGGTGGCACTAGAGGAAAATTAAAGAATGATCAAAGTTATAACAATTCATCCTGACAGGGACATGAATGCACCAAATTTAAAAAAAAAAGTCAGGGGACCACTTAAGTAATTAAGATTCATCACCTTGGGACCATGAATGCCTGTAAAAATGTTGTGGCCATCCATCAAGTAGATATGGGAATGATGTACTGTGTTTCACTGGTAAATAAAAACTTTGACCCTGTACTGGTGGTAGAGGAAAAGCCAATATGATTCATCCGCTGGTGACCATGAATGTCCCAGAGGATGACAACCATGGCAACCATCCAATATCCAAATAAGATACTTGACTAAAAATCAAAAATGTCCACCTCATTGTGGCGGGAGAGTCAGGAGATTGACTTTTCCCCTGAAGGGACGGTGAATGAATGTCTAAATTTCATAGCAATTCATCCAATAGCTGTTAAGATATTTCAGTCTGGACCAATGTGCTGGAAAAGCCAACTGACCGACATACCTACTGCCACTCCACTAGCACTGCTAAAAATGCGCTTTGCAATGAAACATGAAAACTGTTGAAGCTGCTCTGCCCACAGATTGATACTGAAAGCTGGTGACATTCAGTTCTTTTATCAGGTGGCACAGGCACAAGCAGCTACATGTGTGGTATATTGTATATGTGTATGTGTGTTAGAAAGAGTGGGTGTTTGTATCTGACAGATGGACAGCTCCAAAGCACTGAGTCAGAGAGGCCTATTGCTCACTATATTCTTAATCTCTGTGTTGTATGTCGTGATGGCAGACAATATACAATTACACCCACAGCCATGCCAGCAAACGTGGCATTTATCCATCTCCACTAAGATAAAAGAGAAAGGTGGAAAGTGATGTGAATGCAGAAAACTGAGAGTCAGGACAGCAAGCAGGGAAAAAGTAAGTAATATTATACTGAATACTGAATTATATTTTCCTTACAGTACTTTTCACCATTCACCAAGTGTGTAGTAGGTCATTGCTAATATCTTTTATTTATTTTTCTGTTTATTATCTGAAAACTTGGGCAGATATTAAGAGCTAGGCTCCCTTTCATTTGCTCAGTGTCAAAGTGAATTGTGATATTACACACACACACACACACACACACACAAACTTTTCATTTCAGCATTTATAGCACTAAGTCTCAAAAAGATGGCATTCTCTGAGCATCAGCCTCCTAACATGTTCACAAAAATGACTGTATATAAAGATGTATATCTTTATACACCATCTATGATTCAGTGACAAAGCTAACACGATGATGGTATGTTTACCATGTTGACCATCTTAGTTTAGTGAGTAAAATACTCAGCGATCCACAGCCAGTGTGTAATGATGAGGTGAAGCTGTTTCATTTCACAGTTATTTTGCACAAAACCAAACAGTCTATCTACCAGTTCCAATCAATAACCCATTCAAATAAATTGAAAACGCAAAACCATTGCCATGCAGGTGTTGATTCAAGACAGTGTTCGGGGTAAACACCCCTTGATCCAAGTAATATTTGATCCTATCTGAGTATGTGTCAGCATGTCGCTGCTTCCTACAGCTGAGACAGTGGAGAGTCACTCAGCGCTCCATACCAAGAGGAGAAGAGGAACAACATGGACAATGATCCTTAACAAGCTGTTACATAAACTGCTGTATTTTTGTGGAGTTCAATACAAAACATGACACATAGCTCAAATAAGTTTGCAGTAATAAACCCACTCTTCTTCTCAGAGCGCTTTTCCTTTTTCTTTCACTCTATGTATGACTCCCTCATCCCTGCATATTATCCTAATCCTAATATGCAGTGAAAGAAAATCTCACTCTTACACCTTAAAATATCATGATTTTAGATTAGACTATGTCAAATGAAGTAATCTCTATTTTTATGTCATGTTTCAGTGTATTGTGTTTACATATGTTTCCAGACAGTTCCTAAAGTAAAAGCAGTGGAAATGACAGGAATTCACCTTCTTGTCCAACGATGAAGAATACATCTTCACCGTTGGATTCTTACTTTACTTGTTAAGATGGACATGTCTGCTCTGTTGGCACTGCTCTGATCTAATCTAAAACTATGCAGCTCTGGAGGAAAAAGACACCAGTGGACTGTAACATGTCTTATCCCTTTTGCTTTGTTCTTCCACCCTCCACTCCCACCTTAATCTTACCAGCCTTGCTCTTTGTAAATCTCTCCCTGCTTCTCTGCATTTCATCTCGTTTTGCTGAGATGAGATGAGGACAGAGGGACTCCTCATTTCATCACCTTCCTGTCTTCTGGATGGAGCAGCAGCCATCTTACGTGCTCAGATAAGGTGGGCGGTTGCCACGGAAAGGATCCATGTGCTCTTTGACTAGCTCACATGATACTTCCTGTGTCCACATGAGCTCACCGTGTCATCATGACATCGCTCTAAACATCAATACCTTTTCTCATCTTGTTTGCCTCTGACTGAACACAGCAAAACGCCTGTATATGAAGCACACGTGCAAACAAATGATTGTGACAATACCTCTCCAACAGACAATACAGCCAGGTGGTGATGACTAAACCTCTATACACACATTAGCAGCTGGCATAACTACTACTACTACTGAGGGGGAGAAACCTCTAATCCAAAATGCAAACATGTCCATCCACACACAGTACACACCACAGACTGTACGGTACACTAGTGCTCACAGGCACGCATGCTTATTCACATGGGTGATCCAAATACTGTATGCCCAACCCCCCTGCGCTTTGGTGAGACACAACAGTCCCACCATGTTCACATGTTCACACTTTGACTGCGCAGTGACATGTAACAATCAGCAGCTTACAGTAAATGAAAAAAAAACATGTCATGTCTGAGGCACAGACAAGGCAGTGTGAGATCAGAAGCTCAGCCTCCATTTTGGGGATTGCGTTGATGAAGGCTGACTGGGTGGCTGAACAGCAGTGGTCATGACTCAGTCAGATATGGTACGCTCTAGCTCACACACTTGCCTCCAGCAGCTCATGTCCAGCTTCAGCACGACAAAAAATTCTGCTGAATTCAAGTCAAACGGTTCTGCTTTAAAACAGCCTGAGCCAGTTGCAGAGTACATTAAAAATGCACCACACAAAACAGTCCTGGGCTAATCATTACCTTTAGTCATGACCATCGACTATCTTGATTGAAGCTCTGCAGGCAATGGTTGGTATTTCACTCACAGTGGAGTGTGTGCTTTACAAAACAGACTCTAATGCCTGAATCGCTTTATTATTTTCCTAAGATGTGGTCAAAATATATATATACATATATTCCCGGATTTTATTTTTCACTAGATAAATAATGCATGGCATTTGCTCAAGCTAATAGAGGCCTGAGGTACCTGATGCAATTGTAAAGGGTGCTACAAGACAGAGTTAATGACTGGCCTGAAATTACTCCATTATTAATGAGGCAATTTGCTCCTCAGTCAGCCCGATGGGTGTGACCAAACCATCCCACCGTAAGTGTACACTTACGTAAGAACGCCTCACAGCCCCAGAAATCAAGACAGAAAAGACCAATTATAGTAACAAGGCACATCTGCCTTTTATTAGCTGACATACTTCATTAATGAACCCTACCAAGAGGGATATAAATATCATTCAGTGCAGAGTCAGAGCGAACACTGATGGACAAGGCTGAGGATAAAAAAAAAAAAGAGTCTTTTCTTTGTATCGAGCACAAAGGCATAAAAGCCCACAGCTTTCATATTCTGCCGGACACATTCAGCTCCTACAGTGTATGAAGCCAAGCTAAAAATATATTGTACAAGAGGATTCATGCTGAGTATTTAATCGCACTGAACATAAGAAATAAGTGAAATGATGAATGGCTTGGGTTCTGTCAGTGGCAGTGCTGGTTTAGCTTGAACAGGCACATTCTTTTCCACAACATTGTCCTTGCACATTTTCATGAATCATAAAGATATAAAGGAATCAAAGTACCTCTGGCTCCCCTCTAGGGATCGCCAGCAGGTAAAACCATCCGATTGTGAGGCAGAGAGCTCGACATCCTTCCCGGCGTGGCACTGCTTCAGGGACGAGCTGGAAAACTGCAGCCTCTTTGAGCTCAAGTGAAAACCTATTCGTTTTGGAAGGGAATGTCCACATCCAAGCAGACGCGCACAGACAGACCGGTCTCATTTAAGGGTCACACTAATGGTGTCCTGCTATGACCTTGAAGAGGTGGAGTTAACAGCGTGCGCCGCTTTGAGTAATGAGTGGCCTACTGGCTACTCCGCGTCTGACAGCATCACTCACTTCCTCAGACAGAAACGTAGACAGACTGGCGCAAAAGACCACAACCAGCTGGTAAAATTCAGCCTTTACGTTGCTTGAGGCGTTGTGTAATTTGCTGCATCATGCCACAGCCTGTCTCAAAAAGAAAAAAAAAAAAAAAAACACTGTATAGCTTCATCTATCCAGTTAAGCAATACGTTGACCTATTCCACGATCTATCTCAGTGTGTCGTGCACTTTTGCTTGCAGTGGAAATGTCAAACTAAAGGAAGGGTTTAATATGCAAACGTTTTGTCTGCACTATGAGTCAGCTAACTATTTGCTGTTATATATTGGATATCCCAAAGAAGATGAAATTTGTTTCTCAATTTGAAGAGGAAAATGTAATCCAGCAACTGAGGTTAAACATGAATATCATCAAAATTAGGCGAACACGGACAGCATCGTTCCATGTTGAACCCAAGTGCAATGAGTGATGTTTGTGTTTTTACGTCTACATTATTGCAATTAATGGTATCACATTTTTAGCTTACTGTTAGAAGAATACGTGTGGGGCATATAGTATATAGTGGGGAGTATATCTGCAAATTGTGTTTTTTTCTGCGTTCTGTCAGGACAAACAAAACAAAAAAGAAGCACTGAACTGTATTTGAAAATAGTGAAGGCCAGATGAACAGAGGTGGACAGATAGAAATGGTCAAAGTCCGACTAAGTAAAGGAGAGACTGTGGAAAGGGAGAGAGACAGAGAGAGAGAGTAAGACAAACATTAAGTGTTTAAGTGTCCTTGACATTTGTCTCTGGGCCTTGTGCCTACTGTTGTCAGTTACTGATTTAACTGGGCCATGACTACACCCCCATAATGAGGCAAGCAATCTCACTCTCTGTGGACAATCTGATAACGACAATCTGATAAAATAAACTAAAATAAAGTGTCACTGTGGCAAAACTCTACACAGAAGCTACAATTCACCTGTTGGCAGTGTCATCATCAAGAGTAGACAATGTCTTCACACAGGGCTCAAGGCTCTGTATATTAGCACAGATTTCAAAAACTAGATTATAGAAAACAAGATTAAAGGGTTTTGTATTTCCTGTGGCTCAAGTGGTCTCTCTGACATTGATTCTGTACTGGAGTACTAGGCGAGGAGAGTGTGTGTTAAATATTTATGTACACAAAGAACTCTTTCCAGAAAGGTTTCCACAAGTACTGAAAAACATGACTGACTGCAGTAATTCTCTGATTTCTTGGACTGGGGGTGACATTGGTCTATTGCAGAGAAAAGAATGGTGAAAGCAGAGGCACAGATCAAAAGAGACAGTACTTGAAAAAATAGAGAGACAACATACTAGCAGCAACTGATATTTACTGCAGTATTGAGTGAATTACCTCAAAGTGCTGGTCTCACCTGGTTCTCCTCATGAGTGACTCTCATTTGCTCTTTAAGGATTGATGTGCGTGCAGCCTCCTCTTTCCTCATTATTCTCTCCTTCTTCAGCTCAGGACTCCAGAAGCTCTTGATGCTGTTGGTGGAAGAGCCCAACTTACTGTCCTTCAGGTCAAGCTCCCTGCGCAGCATCTCATTCTCCCTCTGCATCTCCCTGAGCTGGGCCTGCATCTCCAGCAGCTCCCCCCCACTGCCCCGCACCGCCTGCCTCAGCAGGGCAGAGGGCACCCCCTGGTGGTGGTGGGGGTGCAGCATGGAGAGGGAGCCCAGGTCACTGTAAGACAGAAGGTCAGCATGGGGCAGCCCCACTGAAGCAATGTTGGGGCTGCTGCCCATGGCTGTGACGCGGCCCCCGTACATGGCCCGGCTGGTGGCGCGACCCAGAGTCATAGTACCTTTGGGGTAGGTGGCAGTGGAGCCCACGCCCTCGTGGTCACTCAGGTACATGGGCCCTGAAGTAGCATAGGCAGCGTTGAGGGACTGGATGTTCTCCATGGAGAGCGTCTTGCCCCCCGCACCACCCCCGCCCCCGCTGTTGGCCCTCCGATGGCCCAGTCTGGGGGACCTTGGCAGGCGCGGGGACCGTGCGGGGCTGCTCTCTATATGGCCTACAGCTCTGGCACTGCCGTACATGTCCTGTGAATCGGCGGTGTAGCCACCAGAGGGTCCTTAACAGGGGCACGCTGAAATGAGACTGCTCTGACTCTCTGAACCACACATGGGTGACTTATTTCATGCCTTAGTAGGTGCAGCACATCAAAGTCCGATCTGAGGAAACAGGAGAAGAGCACCTGTTAGGTGAATAACAACCTTTTGTATGTATCAGATGAAAGGCTCAGTAAAAAAATGTACAAAACTTTTTTGAAAAGTACATTCCCCTCAGAAACTGAACTTGGGAAAACAAATAGATTTGGACTGTAAGATGCTCGACAGTAGATGAAAAATAAACAGTTCTGTTAGCTTTAAGACTGTATTAGTCAACATCAGCAGTAAACTGCCACATTTTATGTGGCTATACTATTTCAAATGGCCTACAGGAATTTCCCATCATCCTGGATTTCCCACTGGCCAACATTTATCTAAATCCCATTACTTCTGCTGATACAGTCAGGAGAGACAGAGCAGCGCTACATCCACACGGTATATCAGCTAAATAACAGACTAATTAAAACACAGGATACAGTGCAGAGTATGTCTTATGACACATTTGTCTGTTCTGAACAGTGATGGCCAACTGCCTCATATAAGAGTGAATAGCAAAATCCACGGTCTACTGACAAAACATATTAGATGTTAAATAAATTGTTATTTTTCTAATTAATTATCTGCAAAAACATACAGGCTATGATTTAATCATTCAAATGCCAATGCCATTTTTTTTAAAACAAGCAAAGATTCTGTGCATCAAGTAATGATGTATAGACCCATTTAGCAGTTTATGTGCGTGTGGTATTAACTCTTGGTTGCCTAGTTGATCGGCTCTTCTTATATTTCCTGTGGAGAGAACTTTGGAAAGTGGGTTTGTTAAATAGTTAGCTCATCGCATATCCCATATGTACAGAAGGCCAACAGTGTATGCTGTTACGGTATAAAAGCAGCAGAGTACATCAACAAAGGGCACTATGTTGAACCAAGCAATACAATCAACACAATAACTGTAACTCAAAGCAATAAAAATCAGCTATGACAGACAGCTAACATTATCAGGCCCATGGCATTTGACATAAAGTCATCCTCTGTAGCATTGTATTGTCTCATAAACATATACAACTTACAAATTAAAATAGACAAGAGACTTGCAGTGATTTAATAACCACTGATGTTTTTCAATTCACAGTATGACTGTGCAGAGAATTGGGTTGAGCACCTTTTTGCTGGTCTGATAGTACTAATGTTATTGTTGGGACACATGGGGGAAAATACCTTACAAATTATATTTTGCACAGTTCTAAAAAAGGCAATTAGCTAAATAAGATAATTATAACAAGCATACCAGACTGTGAGACTAAAACCTAATCAGCCTTTCTGGCCACAATTTTAATTAAAATTGTAAAAAAAAAAATGGTAAAATAGTGCAGATCCTTCTGGCTAACAAGGAGAAAATGATATTGGAGGCTTAATTTTTAATAGTGTAATAATGGGTCTGCCATTTCATGCCATCTCTGGCCTCAATATATCTCAAGATACATCACAGGCTATGATTTATTAAAGCTTAAGATGGCAGGTAATGACAGTGCCATTATTACACTATGGAAGATATTTTTATGTAAAACAGAGAAAGCTGAGAACAGCAACACACGTTGAAGACAAAGACAGTGACTCAGGCTGTTTAAGTCACAGGCTGCATGGAGATGAATAATATTGGAGAAAAAAAAAACTCTTCAATCAAAGTGAACTATGGTACTTTCTCTCCTCTGGTGACTCTTGCTCAGACCCAGTTGCCATGGTGACTATGCCTGGACTAACACTGATAAAGCACCTCAGTCGTCTGACATAACAGTAGCAGAAGTTTCCAAAAGGTGTGGAAAAAAACTGACCAAAATGTAGGTGGGCTGTGTTGCAGGAGAGCCAAGGAGACATGTCGGTCTGTAGGATGCATGGGTGCTTTCTTTCTTACAATCCCACGTTTTTAACTTCATGTAAATTATTTTATTTTAATTTGAGTGACAGATGAAATGCTCATTCATGGCATAGAGAACCATGTGTCTCCTCAGTAAAATTTTGGGCTACAGGGTCCCTCAGCTGCGCTCACCGAGGCATCATCTCTAAGGGAAACTCAAATCACTGCAGGAGATCTCACACTGTCATATCTGCTATATTAAGTAACAGGTGCCTAGAAATGGTATGGGACTGTACAGATATAAAATGGCAGAACAAATCAAACAGAATCTGTTTAAAGACTTGCACAGAGCATGTCTTAAGATTTTGAATTCATATTGTAACCTATAAACAGTGTAAAACCTTTTTTTAGTTCCTCTGAGAGACACAACCAAATTAAATTCAAATTTTAAATATGCAGACATATGCAACACCAAATACTGCTGCGCTTATCTTCAGCGGTCAGCTTGCTACAGCAGGTCTGTGAAGTCTGGCTGCTAAATGGTTTAGGAGTAGAAAACAGTAATAGCAGTGCAGTGGAAACAGGACAAACAAAGCAACTGTTAGCGCTGTTGATTCAACTCAGTGGTCATTTTTGAGTCCGTACTGCAAAAGCAAAGTGTCCTCTGAAGCTTCTTTCAGTCAGTGTTTGTTAAGATCTACTTGTAATGACTTTTTTTCTTTCATTATGTTTGTCTGTTTGGCATATGTTGTCCTCATTTTTTAGACTTTGTCCATGTCACCACTGATTCACCAGTGATCCAGGCAGTGACTCTCTGGCTCCTTTGTACATCTTCCTCGCGTTATCTTTTGCTGTCCAGCCCCCTATTGAAGCTGACACATTCTATCAAGTGGTATTCAACTATGATTCACTTATGTAGCTGCCTTTGTTATTGTAAACTACAAAAAAAAAAAAAAAACAATGTAATGTGACGTGGGGGACAGTTTCAAAAATGATGCCAACTGTGCCATGCTAGTGAACCAGTGATCTGGGATGTGTGCCATGTGACCACAACATCCCAGCTGGGGATGTTTGTTGCATGTCGTCCCCCTCACTGCCCATGTTTCCTGCCAGTCTTCACTGTCAGTTAGTGTATCTAACAAAGGCACATATGCCAGGAATATAATAGACTACGACATTAATATAAAATAAAAAACCTGCAGCTCTGTCAACCTCAACAAAAATCAAATGTCTTTACTTAACTGCTACATGCTGCAGGGCATTTGTATTGTATGATGCTTCTGTTTTTCTGTCCATCCAGTGGCTACACTCTCTAATCAGATGGGTCTGATCAGATTTTACAGATTGATTGCCTGGTGTCTTGGAGCACTGGGATGGAAATACTGAATCCATGTGGTTTGATCAAATAACTTAAAGAGCTCATTATCTATATGTATTTTTTATGAATAATCTATTAAGCCTTTAGTCCATGAACATGCCAGAAAATGTGATGTTCAGTTTTCAATGATATAAAACAGAAAAAAGCAGCACATTCCCAAATGTTTGGTGTTTCTGTTTCTAAAATTGTTGTCAATTAATTTTCTGTAAGTAAATCAATTATTTGACTAATCATTTCAGCACTAGCACAGTCGACATCTAAGTCAAATATCAATTAAGTTGTCTACAAACCCCTGATAGAGACAATGATGTTCTACCTCAATGTTCTACGCCTATTTAATAACATTACTCTAATCATTTTATTCTTCTTCTAACCCTGTTCTAAAGTAAAATTTCATATCTGCACTGGAGGATTTCACCACTGCATCAACCAGATCCACACAGTGCCAAGGCACATTGCTGAGGATGCCAGACGGAGGGAAGTGACCAAAGTGCAATAAGACAGTAGACTAGTCATATTATTATAGGGACAGTGATAATATTGGAGTACCACAAGGGAGGCCAGCTGACAAGGCCAGTTGTAACCGTTCATTCCACTCTACAGTTAACTTTACAAAGGATACTAAAAGTAAAATCTGAGAGAAGGTGCATAAAATGTTACTATTGCAGCTGTAGGCTGTTATGTGTAATTTTACAGATATAGTTTTTTTTTCATGCAGCTTCTCGTGAATACTGCCCATGCTGTTGCTGTCACTCATTTCTGACCTGTCAGTTGCGTAGGTACTAGTAAGTAATTACAGTTACCAGCACCCAAAAACCTGTCAGCAAATGCCCATAGAGACCACTGAAGAAATTATCACTGGCAATTCAGAGAGCAGTGACGCGGAAACAGCAGAGAGGATACAGATGTTCTGAAAAAAAAGACTTCACCACAGGCCATGCTGAGTTTATCAGAGGGGTCAGTGATACTGATTTCTACAAGGCAATCATGACATTTTGAAAGCCAGCATGCAGGCATTTTGTTTTCACTCTGATAAAACTGCACTGGATGTGGATACTAGTTTAAAGCAGGGATCTTTGGTTGTGAGGGTGCGCTTTTGAGGTCAGAGCGCATGTCTGGAGCGGACAAAGAAGGACATTCTTCTATAAATAGCCTTTACAATAGGTTGATAATAGAGAAATTTCATGTGAGAAGAAGCACCAACCGGTTCAGTGCGGTGCAGTGCCACTTTGGCAAGTGCATGCAACACATGCAGCCTCCTCATCACGTATTCTACTACAGAGCCACAACGCCCCCGTGCCTCACATTGACTTCACTGGTTGGTTGATTGGATGAGAAAATGTAAATGTGCTACTCTAAATGGCCCGGTTAACCCGACCAGCACATCCCAATGTTGAACGAAAACTGCTCGTTAGCAATGGCTTCTAATAGACTCGCTAAACACGTGAAACGTCCTCGACAGATGTTTATCCTAATTACACGTAGGCATCTGTTTTCAATTACATTTTTTTTCTTAAGGTCTTCTAACTGAGGTGCAGGCAGAATTACATTTGATGCAGCACAGGAAGGCACGACCGAGCAATTGACAGCTCATTGGGCCTACATTTCCGATGGCTCCAGCGTGGCGTGCGTCGAGCACCTGAACACACCAATGAAATATTAGTGTAACCCGCCGTGCTGAAACCTTTATTTTGA